TTCTATAAGTATTTTATTAGATTTAATATAATTTTTTATATTTAAAACTATAAAAACTACAAAACTATAAAACTACACTACAGTTAATGCTCTGGTTAAGAAGGCTTACAGGGTTCACGATAAAGACCTTAACTTACTAAAAAAATCTCGGGAAATCTCAGGTACTTTTAATACCCACCTTTCTCTTATAAAATTATTTTTTATTGGTTATTACCCCCCCTATTAGGTCACGCATGAAGAAACATTCAGGGGGGGAACTGTAATTGGTTGTGGAAATCGAACATACTACTTGTCAACTACGGCCCAGAAGTTCCACTCTCCCCGCCTGGAGGTCCACGCCAATCACGGCCCTGCACCGAGAAACCGGCATATTACCGGTTCTCCAACTCGTGGAAACAAGGCGACTCCGCTTTTTTGCGCGTATCAAATCGCTAGATCTCGCACAGTCCCTAGTCAAGCGCACCGTCGAGGAGACGCCACGACCCGTCATTCTGTTGCCACCTGCTTCCCGTCCTCAGTTCCGCCTTTGTGTCTTTGGCACGCTGATAAGGCAGCTCTCCGATGCCTTCGGCCCGTCTTTACAAAAACACCGCACAGGGCTGAACAGGAGAACTTACAAGGGCTTGAGGCATGGGATGAGTTTCACAATCATTGGCACTCAATCATGAGGTGCCCAACCACGGAGATGACCGCCGCGCGTCTTTTAATCGTCTGACCAAGGACAGAATATCTATGCGCTTTGGATACCATATGGCTTGGATCTCTGGCAGTGGTTCCGACGACAAGGTAGTTTTCAATCCTGCGTCGTCTCGACTGATTTGCATGGTGGTCCACTGGTAGTCTGGGAACTCGGGGAGTTGTGGGATGAGGAGGTACGGCCGACATATGGAGTTGTCGTCAAAGACGCTTGTTGGAATGGTGAGGTAGTGTACTCTGTTCCTGGCACGGATGCGGTACTGTCCGGTTTCGTCGTCAATCTCCTGGTTCAGGACTTCAATTTCATCTTTTGGAATCGTCTTCATGGTAAAGGTGGTGCTGTAGCCGGCTTACTCCTTTGTGCTTGGACTTTGGGGCCCCTCGGGCTTAATCGATGCAGAGCGAAAAGAACCAAGACCGACGAGATGTCTATGTGCCGAAATTTCAACGAACACGCGGTGTATAAGCGACTTCCAGTTGCTCTTCAGGACGTGCGTAGGTATGGGCGAGGGGAAAGCGTCAACATTGAATGTCTCCATACGGTCAAGAGGGTCTGGTGGATCCATCCGACATGTGCACCCAGTGTATCACAAGTATCAATGCGACTGCCAGTAAAAGGGGGAGTTCCAACAATGTGATCGGCGCGATGCCCAGTCCAACCTACAATGCCACACAACTAGACCCGACGAGCAAATTTCCCGCAACTACTGCCCCAAGCACTTGCCGAGGGAGGGGAAAGCCACGACTGAGTACACTCGTCGGATCACTAGAAACGTGTAGAGAGGATTCGGTACTTAGTGCGTCAGTAATGGCAAGCCCGGCAGGCCTTGATAAATGGTAGGCAGATGGCTATATGAGCCATTGGGAGCTGGAGGGCTCGGGAACCTTGTGAATGGGACTAGCTTTGGCAACCTATCGATTATTGATAGCGTATAGAGTGGGAGAAAAAAGTGTCTAGTTTGAGTAGCCCAGGTACTCGATTATCGCGCTCTGTATCAAAATATACTACAGTATATTCGTGTTTACTCGGTGGGTGCATACAGTCTGCCACAGACTGTACATTGGGATGATACCTAAAATAAGCGCACAAATATCACCACGACTAGTCACGAGCTGAATCTCGAATAAGCTTCTGTGCCCCGAAGCAGTGCCGAACGTGTTCCAGGAAGCCAGTCTTGGACCAGGCACTTCTGGCCATTCCGTTTAGCACACGGAAAGGCTCCCAGCCCGTAGGTACAATACTCGAAAGACTGACCGCGTCCAGCTGCCCGTTTTTAAGTAGTTCAAATGCATGGAGACAGCCTTTGCACCATAGACCGTTTTCGACAATGCCTGGTGCTGGGAGCGAAGGAAATGGTACTGATGCCATCCCAATGAAGTCGTCAGGTGGAATATTGCCCTGGCATGGACGTGCAAGAGAATCCTTCCGCAAAGGGTTTGTACATGTTCTCTGGGGAAACTCACCGATAGCAATCGATTCCGGCGCCCTGAGTCTCCTCAGCAAGTTGTTTGCAAGCTTCTCGGTTGATCCATAGACCCGAATCGCTTGCTCTTTGGCTGCAACGGCGCTCACAAGGGGGTGTGATGATTCCATGTCCTGCGCGCGCGAGAAAAGATACAGGCCAGGGATAGTATGCAGGACCTGAAGTTGCTGGACGTGCTGCACCTTGAGGCCGAAATACTTTTTAGCCTACTTTGGGGAGATGGCTCGGAGTGATGGCTTCACCCTCAAGCCACTCCCAGCAGCACCTCACACAAGTCGGAAGGAACAAGTACGCGCCATATTCTGCACAACACTCGCAGCGGTGGGACCGTAGAACATTCCGGAGCCTAGTCTACGTCGACTATATACGGTGCGTGTTCAAGGAGTTCTTGGTAGGCCGACAATGACTGGATAACGGCCAGTCCGTGAGCAGAAATCCGGGCCATGTGTGAAATCGTCTGCAAGTCCAACATGCTGAGAATTGAGTGCTGAATCTCGGGTGGCAATCTATTAAGAGTACCAAGGGAACTTGGGCGGTCGATATGCTTGACGCGTGGAGGCTTCAACGGGACCTTGGCGCGTATCATTGTCTGATCTAGGTATTGCGGTCGCCAGGCAAGAAGACCGAAGACGTCAGCGGGATCGGTAGTCGAGGAAGCCATGTTTGCGATAGCTGGCAGAGTAGACGTTGAAAGCCGTGCGAATCAGCATTGCCGGAGTCTAAAATGTTGTTGAGGCGGCAGAAGCATGACAATTAATGGTGGCGGATGTGATGGCGAGGAACTTGAATTGACCTTGATGCTAGCACAGACCAAGCACCGGGGTCTGTTCGGCTACCAGCTGCAGTCACATGGGTCAACTGGTTGACCGTCAACGGTGCCACCAGTTGACAGCTGCCAGAAAGATCACCATCCCCACAGTTCCCCTGAATTATGTTGTTCAGGCGCCAGATGTTCATCTTCACACCAGACTTGACCATGACCTTTACTACTGGGTTCAATGTTCTGTTATAATATTCAAAATCACCAATGCCAACATTCTGTAAGGATAATACGCGTACCCATCAAGAAACCTAATTCAACATGCTCTACCTATGACGGCTCAATCCTACTTTTCCAGAAAATCTCTGTACCTAATCACTCCGGCCTGTTTTCTTTGTTGCACCCCGGAGCAGTGGCGCATCAGAGCTTTCTACTGGGTGTCGTCTGCATCAGCCTTCAGGCCTTTGGAGGTGGTCTCCGCAATATCTGTCGCGGCGCAAGTAAAGTCTGCCGGGTGTCAACATTTCCCTGCAGGCCTTGGCCCGCGCTTATAGAGTGATATTTCCCCTCTGCCTTTGCTTTGTCGACGCTCTCATCCGGTACTTCAATGGCAGCGGCCCCTCAAGGTGGCTAATAGCCGTAACTATGAGATCTTTCTTGCCCTTTATCTCCCCGGCCTTTCTCTAGATTCTGGGGTGATGTTCCTGGAGGTACCTCAAGATAAGCCAGGGGCACCGCGACTCGAGCGGAATAATCAACGAGGGCACATTCATGGGTCAAGAGGAAGTGTAAGAAGTATTTCTAGTCTATTCAAGTAAGTCTTTATAATTTATAATAATGCAGACTTATTGTTATCACTGTGTTCGTCCTCATAGCTGCTCATCCCGATCGAGTCTTTAGTCGCCAAGAGACGATTATGGGCGTTTGTAGAGGCTGCGGGGAAGAAATATCGGACGGGGAAATGGCGTTGTTCATAGTAATACAATGATTAAGCTTCCTCCTAAAAAAAGACCGTTCACACTATTATAACCATATTATTTTCGGGATGTTCGGCCAAGGACCGCTGTGACTCGAGCTTTTTGCCCCAAGGTGTACAGGTCAACCCAACGCCCGTCGTGACAATATGTCAGGCCCGGTTTTGTATCGTTTCTTATTAATTACAGTGCCCAAATATGCAATTGTCGGTATTTGTCCCCAAAAGAACATTCTCCAACTGCGATGTAATTACACCCCCTTATATTCCGCGGACAGTCTTCCTCATTGTTGAAATCACCATGTCTTAGAAGCTACCCTGAACAACAAAAATCGGCTCCTCCACATGGCTCATCATCAGTCGCAACTAGGCTAATGGCAAAGACGGCGTAGCAGAAACCGCAGTAAATTACTGCTCTTTGCTTCCTTTTTGGGAAAGACCTTGCCCGTTTTCCAAATGTATTTTGTCCCAACACTTTCAACTTTGTGAACCGGCTCTCCAGTTCGTTCAGAGTCGACATGGATGCGCTTAATGGGCTGGATCCCATTGTTGTCTGTCAGCCCTGTTCGCTTTAATATAAATTGGCACTCCTCTTACTTTCTTGCAACCAGTTATGCTAGTCGGAATTTGATCGACATCTAATTTTTCTCAAAGCTGCTGAAGGACCTCGAGCCTGTTATCGTCGGTCCCATATATCCTTCCAAATTGCTTCACCAATGCAATTCGAAAAGCACCATTTGCTTCGTTTTCTTCTCGGCTCTTGGGCTCCCACCCATACTGCTTGACTAGGCGACGATACTCAGACCACACTTCGTTTGTTGGCTCGTAGTCGAAGTCAGGATAGCCTGAAAAGAAGGCGCCGATATGATCATCAACTTTGACCATGGTGTCACTGTCAAACGGTATCGTCTCGTTCGTCTTCTCGGCGTCTGTCGAGTGAGTCTAGGCAGGTCTTGAATTGTCTACAAAAACTGGATTGCAAACGGATGGTGCTCTGATATGGAAGATAAAGCGCAGACTTGCGAAATAATAATGTAATTGGATCCGTAATTACTGCAATTCTTTCTCACGTGAGTCAATTTGACAAACGGCGTTGGTAGCAAACGGAGCCTTCCATGACCTTCTATACCTATACAGCACGAGCCTAGAGGTAGCACAAGTGCACTGCGGAAATCTCTGAGCATGGAAGTGAATTTTAATTCGTCCAATGAGTCGGATCGGCGAATCTAGAACCTTGTTTCTCCATCAGGTAGCCTCTCTCGCTTTGAGCCTTTGTGATATCGGACCTGCTTTTCTTGCTAACGTATCGCGAGAAGCAACTCAAAAGTCTCAATCTGCCGGTGAGAGGTATTTTTGTCGGCGGAAGTATTATGGTACATCATAAAAGCTACGCCTATGAAGCTATATTAACTTTACACACATTCAGTAGTGTTTCCCACATATTCAAGTGCTGTAGCATAATAACTCGGATTTGTTCTCGGTTGATATTAAAACTTGCTGACTCCGAATAGCTTGAAACCCGCTAGAGATACGATGACACTATCATGTAGCATGCAGTGACTCCATATGAATAGAAGTAATGATACAATGCATTCTTTCTCCTTCGTTGTCATTAGTATTTAGCCTGACAAACTAAGGGCCTGTTGCCTTGACTGGACTATGTATCTCAAACTACCCGTGCAAGCCATGAGTGTCCCTGTGTCGTGAAAATGCTGCCACGTACTTTACCTACGAGTCACACATCCCAAAAAAAAATTGGCATCTGAATCTATGTGCTCTGTCAACTCTAGCTCTACCACGACGTTCTGCCTAGTACATAGGCTGCGGCGCTTTTTGTGTGCCAGCCTAAAGGCCATCTTCTGAGTTTCATTGCTTGAAACTGGCGTGATTCCGTTGACAATACTTTTGTGTCGTAAAGATACTACGTCCCCAATTCGATTACCATCAATATCGTGCCCCTAAAGGACCTCCGGACAGTAAAGCTGACTCCACCAGCTCGACGGCGACAAAGCCAGTGTGCCTACCATGCTACCGAAGACGTTCCGAGACATCGCGTAGAAAAGCAGCCGATCCGACGTTCTAAACAATGGCATCGATGTGACTGCCAGTCTGCTTCCACAGCTCATGGGTATTCTCCGTCTGGGCGGTAATGTATGCGTCCTCGTTTTCCGGCCAGCGTATTTTCCAACTTTAATGGGTTAATAACGCAGAACGAGACTAGTTCAACAATCGACCGCCGCTTGCTGGTAAAAGTGGCGCAAATGGAGCGATAGGCGACTGCGACCGCTTCTGCCCGAGCTGTAAAGATGATCGAGATTTATCATCCTGAGCCGTAGGTTCTAATGCGTCCAACCCTTTGACGTTTGCAAGCTGAATGTCCGACTTCGTGAATGAGGCGCGGTCGTCAGCCATGATCCGATAGCGGGCGTCCGGGTTCTTGCGCAGCATTATCAAGGCGTTGACACAATCACCATGATCAACAAGACGCAGGCAAAGACGGAGTTGAGAGCAAACAAGACAACCCCAAGCACGCCGACAACGACTCCTGGCGCGCCAATGACATTAGTAAATATAAAAATGAATATTGCGTTGAGAAAGTTGACTACGCCAATAGCAAGATTGAAAGAATTAGTCGGCTTGTCCATCCACGGCCGCATGACAGATGCGCTAATCACCGCCGCAGCTTCAATCAACAGCAGTGCCGTGCAGTTTGCGTAACCTCGAACGTCAAAAGTCACGTAGTTCTCAACAGTGGAAGTGGCGGATATTTGGAAACTCGCCGTGTTGTTGTTGGGAGTGAAGACGACGTTGAACAAAATGGCTGAGAAACGAGAGTTTTCTTGGCAACTGGCGCGAGCTGCAGATTCCAACTTTTGTATACAGAAGACCGGTGAGAAAGCTAGACCCATGAAGGTACTGGGCACGCGGGAGGTGCATCTTGGTCATTTATCGACCGTCTGTCCGGTAACGCAAAGTATATACAGCAGCCGAAACGAGCGGTGGTGATTGGGTTCTGCCATGAGACTTCGTGGCAAATAGGGCTGAAAAAGATGACAGCAAGAGAAAGCAATGAAAATGAATGACTTTGTTTTGCAGACTTGGAACCAAGCGGGAAATGTTCAAGTATAACGTTCGGAAGAGTGAGATGAAACAGTCACAAATTGTCCGCGTTGACCACGAGAACCCGGCGGGAAACAAAGCAAAGCCTCCGCAAAACCTCCGCATTCAAGTTACGAATCGGCGGCCGTCTAAACCGTAGGCCTCGAGTCCATATTTAGACAAGGCAAATTTGAGGGTGTGGCTATGCGATGCATCAGCGTCTACAAGTCTGGTGCAAGTGGCTCGCCCACTTAGTCATTGATGGGTATAGCGTTTCAGCTTGTAATATGCGCAATATGGACCACGATGCAGCTTGCCAACAAGTTTAGGACTATGAGAATGGAGCTAGACTCTCGCTGGAATTTCTGGCTGCTATCAACAAGGCTTCTAGAAAACCAGATGGTGTACCATTTAGTTGACAGTTGTGTTCACCCAGAGAGAAGCCTTCAGACGGGCAAACGCATACGGGGCGCAGCAGGGCCGAACCGTCCAAGTTCAAAGCGTGATGGGCATAGCAGATTGAACATGGAGCCGAAAAGTATGCATGCCAAGGAATGGAAGCGTGCAGTCGCGCGATTCACATCCTTCGCGGTGGGCCAAGGCGGCTCGGTACTCGGAGCATTCGATCGTCTTGAGTGGGCAGCTTCAAGATTTGTTAATGCGTGACAAGGTCCAGATGTTAATCTAGTAATGACATAGCCCCTGTTGATGCTCCTTGGAGGAGTGACTTGGACGCTACTCCGCCACAATGAAGCCCTCGAATAGGAGGTACGGAGCTTACCGCGGCGATGCCTGCCCACCCGCTATAGAGACCAATTCCACGCTCAATGATCTTATGGTAGCGGGCTGTGCTTGAGTCGTCCTCCCAGACTACCGCTGTCGAGGTGTGAATCCTCGCAATCTTGATCGGACTCTTCATACGCAACACGGTCGACTCATGCGGTTGGAGGTAGACAAAGGGTAGAGCGAGGCAGCCCCATTCTGTCTTGCGTTGTTTGTCCGGACTTATATGATTTACAATGATCTTGAGAACTAGTTGTGGCTTCGGCCGCTGGGCAGCCGCGACGCTTTGCATCATTATGCAGCTAGATTTGCTTGTAAGTGCCGCGTACAACATTGACACAATAGGTATGACAGCTTTTCTTTCCCATCGCCGCGCCCTTCTTAAGAATGACCGCAGCTGAGGCATAAACAACCAATAGACAATATCGAGGAGACGGCTCGCTCCATTGCTGCTGACCTGAGGAGTCATTATCACGACGATGAATACGGCCAGGTCCCCGGCATTCTGCCTGGGCCTCCTGCGGAAAACAAAAGCCGATACTACGCAAACGGCTGCTTTTTCAATACGGGTATACGTCTGGCACGTTATACGAATAACGATACGTATGCCAAATACACCGAAGAGACTTGGGACTGGATTTGGGAAGTCAAGTACATTGACCATGAATCCTGGCTGGTTTTGATGGCGGGTATGGAGTTTCCAACAGTTCAAAGCCTACGCCAACCACGTATTCTTACAATGCCGCCATCCTTCTGCAGGCGCGGCGTTTATGTACAATTATGTAAGTATTTGCACCCCTCTCCCCCGCGATACGCAACCTAGGGGATTCCTAGCTTTGTTGTTCTGTTTTCAAGGAGGATAACAGACCAATGGCGACGAGAAATGGAAATCCCGAATCGACAAGTTGCTCACGGCCTCGCTGGAGTACTCTTTTCCAAAGGGCATAGCATACGAGCAGAGTTGTGAAATGAAGCAAGGACAGTGCACTCCCGATATCCTTTCCTACAAAGGCTCCGTCTTGAAAACATCCTCCGAGGCAGCAGTTGCCCAGTGTACTGGCGGAAGCAGCGGAAGAGTATGTGGCTTTTACTGGTCCTCGGGCAATCGATCCGGCGGTGGACAACACGAGCGGCGCTGGAGAGGCCACGAATGCGTTGGCAGCGGTTCCTAGCCTCTTGATTGATGGTACCAACCCGTCGGTGACCAGTGCGACTGGTGGCATCTCCAAGCGGAATGATGGGAGCGGCCATGCCAGCAATGGCGAGGAGAAGCTTGCGGAGATCACCACGGATGACCGGGCGGGCGCATGGATTCTGACAGTCATGTGTTTTGGGCTGTTTATTGCTGGATTCGTGTGGGTTTCTATGGCGGACTAGCAGATGCCGGTGTGAGCTCTTATGTTTCTAAACAGCCTTTCCCGCATTATAAGGTGTCTGCAACCATTGTACAACCAATTTAAACTTGGACTCGCGTGCTGAATTTACATATGGTTTCTAGATGCGAGGCAGTTGCATTGTTGTTTGTCTCTTGGCAACTCTTATCCTACAAATCCTGCTAGAGAAGATGAGGATAAAGAAGTATCACGGCTACCAAACGCTCCCACCACCCTAGAATATAGCATGCTGTAGCTGACTTGGTCAGTTATCCAAGCATTGGACTAGAAGAGACGATTCCCATTGAATGACAGCCCAAGTCAAGCGGCACTCTCATGGATCACGCGAAGTTACTTGCGGTGTGCGCCGGCTAGTCCACTCAACACCTCCGATTAACTTGCAACTCCCTCTGTCCTACTTCACACATTAGTTCCTACTTTGCGTGATTTAGAACAAAGATTGAGACTCACGTACCGCTCTTCTTTGCGGCCACCCAGCTACGATAGGAACTCCAATGATCATAGCTACATTTCCCCTTGCCAAGGAACTCTTCGTGACTCTCGTATAATCCAGCCTTGAAACGTCCTGAGAACCTTACTTCTCCAACCTTTATCAGTTCCATACTGTCGTCAGACTCGGACACAACATTCTGAATAAGACGATCTGGATTATTTGTCTTGTAGACGGGGAGCGTAAACTGCTGGGATTCGTTATCAGTCAGTGTAGAAAGCCACACAAGAGCAAAATGCTTGTTCTTGCTCATTGTTTTGCTCAGAGGACTAGGTATCGCCTCCGAGATACCAGAAAACTCCAACACGAGCGGTGACATGTATCTGTAGTGAACGGGAAGTGAGGCCTGTCCATTCGCCAGCGTCCACGTGTAGCCGCTTTCTGTCTTCTGCCCCCCTTTGCATACCCTCCGTGATCCGCTAGTACGCAAGGTAAGCTTCCTGGTATTGACACCGTCACCGAGACAGATGATTGGTGACGTGACGACAAATGTGCCAATTTCATAGCCAAGGAGTGACTGCGGGAGCTTTATCCCAATGGAACGGAAAATCATGCCGACTCTGATGCGGCCTGTTCCTGCGCCGCCTTTCAGGTCGTAAAATTTGACTACAGACGAGGATTTGTGGAATATTTCTGACAGTGTCAGTCCCACAACACCCACGAGACAGTCGTTTGATGCCCTTCTCGTGTCCCAAACAGAAAAAGTCAAGGTAGCCATGCGCCAATCCCGAATGTATGTCTCTGTATTTGAGTTGAAAACTGGAGTGTTGGTGATGGATTTGACCCGAGTTCTGTATACCAGTTTATCGTTGACGTCCGCCGCGACATAGAGCGATGGGATATACTCAATATTGACGGTTTCTTCTTCGGCATCGTCATCTCCATCAGAGTCTTGCCCCCGGATCTTGACGTGGCCCATGGATCTCTTGTTCGGGTTATCGACCTCGACGTTGATGCACTGATGGATTGTGATGCCCAGTATTCCCGACGGCAGACCCGGGTCGGGAACGGTATTTTGGGCATTTTGAGCCTGCTCCTCGGCGGCAACTTGCTTCTTCTCGCCGTGGCGGTCCCGTGGGTCGATAGCGTCTGTTCTGAGTTGCTTTTTGAACTGTGCTCGTGGGAAGTAGCCAATCTCCCACTCGAGAACCCCCTCGGCATCAGTGCCTGCCGTCTCTCCCTGAAGGCGATCCTCTCTCCAGTGCATCTTGTTTTCATCCAAAATCAGCTCCTGCAAAGGGAACTCACAGACGCCAGAGACGTCATCCGATCCCATGGTGTCCGAGTCCCACAGTCGCAGTAGCACATTCTCTTTGCGCTTGACATGTTCTGCACGGATCATGATGATGGCTGATTCCTCCCATACCGGATTCCTATCCCCTTTTATGATCCGCGATGCATACATGGGCTTCTCGTATTTGCTAAAGGCAATAGTCAAGTATGGATCTGCTCCTGGCCCTCTCGTGTCCTGGCGAGCCAAGTTGCGAGCTCGGTGAATCTTGACCACCAGGACCCCAATCGCGTCAGTCTCTTCTTTCTGGTCCGAGCCACCGATAATCGAAGTCATATCCAAGCTCATGGATTTTGGCTGAACAAAATTAGCCGAGGCGGCATTGATCTGTGACGCAAGAATAGAGTCGACAACAGGCAGACTCAAAAGATCCATGGTCCAATATGCGCCAATCGATATACTCGCACTCATCTTTGGGCTCTCGGTTAGGGAAAACGTCACCTTCTTCAAGAATGGCAAGTCGGGATGCATCTGGATCCGAACTCGAACTGTGGTAAAAAGTTCCTTGACTTGGACAAATATTGGCAGAGGCACAGGACCCAGCATTGCCAGTATGTCGGCGTGCATGTGATCCTTTCGGGTTTGAAAGGGGGGTTGATGGTATGCAATGGAGATTTCCAGGTTGTAAAACACCCCTCCCTCCTCCATCTCAATTGCCCTCTCCCGTTCTTTGACACTGTCGGGCGATACAGATTTCTCCAGCCCGTGCGAAGGTACCAAGTTTCCAAATTCAGAGTCAGGAAGAGATCTCACCGACAGAACCCTGACTGCGTGGCTGCCATGGCCAAGACTAGTAATCTTGACTGAACCTGGAACACTCTCGGGAATATATGACTTGATGGTGTCGTTGATCTGCGACGCAACGTTGTCAAAGAATTCTTGCTGCAAGGTTTCCCATAGGGTCTGCACTAGACTGTTCATCCATTCCACAGACTCGGGTACGTATCTGAGTTTCTCTGTCTTATGTTGTGCTCGCTCAATCTTTCGCGCGGCCGCATTCTGGCTGACCATTTGCAAAATTAAGTAAACAGCTATTGCCACACCAGCTGCCGGAAAGACTGACTTCACAAAGCCTTTGAATCCCCCGCCGATAAAAAGCCAATCGAGTACCACGATGGCCGCAAATACAAGATAAGACACTTGCTTCAGACCTTGCTCGACGGAGTCGAAAACGCGATCAAAGTTCACATCTGGAGTCGGGTGAAACAGGACATTCGATTTCTCTGCCCCAATTGGAACATCGTCCGTCTCACCAGCCCTTGGGCCATGGTCCGCTTCCGGTGCTTTATCCTCAGGGTGGTCTTGTGATATTTCGGCTTCCGCCTTGTCCGAATCAAAGTATCGGCTAGACGCTTCTTGTTTTGTTTGTTGCCGCTCGCGGAATGCTTGAATATTCGTGGGGGGATTTCGCTCGGAGTAGGCCTGTCCGTACTTGGTTGGATCTGCCCTCAATGACTTGTCTTGTGTATACTGGATATGAGAGTCAGTCGGCGGTTGACCAGATGGTTGAGGGCTCTGTAAATGATTAGCTCCAAGTCACAATTCGTGATTAGAATACAATATACCTGAGAGGTAAGTGTTTCACGACGAACGAGGCCTTCTTTATCAATGCTGCCGTCGCAACTCCAAGCTCCAGTAGCATTCGCAGCCGAGGGGTGAGCATCCATTCCGTCTGCGTTGGTGGACGTCTTATGTCAATAGGCCTTTGTGTCATTCACGCTTGTGTTCGAGACGACTTGGGCTATTGGGTATAAATGTGCATCTCCCAACCTACACTCAACAATACCGAGGCAGGGTCCAGCGGTCAGTTGAAAATTCGATGGGAGCCCTGGTGCCAGATTGTCTTTGGCCCTTCCTTGATCACCCGTTGAAAGCGGGCAGAATGGTGACGTCAGTATCAAACTTGTGGATCATGACTTGCTTGTGCCGTTGCAAGAGTTGGACAAGATCGTCATAGAAACCAGCCACAAAAGCATTCTGCGTCCGGATAATGATTTCGAAAATGACCTCTCGTCGACTTTTTTTATCAATGGGATTTTATTTTGTGAATGTGACAGACATAGCCCGTGCAAAATGCATCCCTATTCCGCGAGAAACAAGGTAAGCCACACCAGACTCAAAGCTACTTCGAAACGACAGCGTGCTGACACCACGGTCCAATACCAGGTGCCGACCATCCAGAAGCTCGCCAAGGAACTGGCAGAACGGCTAGACCTTCAAAAGGCTGATGCATCCAAAGCAGCCTCTGGCAAAGACTCTGCAAAACTCGCTGCCGCAAGGGCAGCTTCTCGGAGAAAAGTCATTGATCCCACTACCAAGAACGAAATCGTTATCCAAGATGTTGATGGATCGTTCGAGGACTCGATTCGGCGACCCAAGATTACTGTGCCTGACATCAATCATCTTCCCGAGGGCCAGGGAGAGACCTACAGACGGACGCTGGACGAGCTCGCGCCACCAGAAGCCGACCCAGCGAGGACGCACGACTATCTGCATCACAGCAAGAATTACGATGTGCCGTACCATCCAACCCCAGTTGCAGATTGGAAAGCAAGCTTTTCTGCCTTGGAAGGGGCAGTGCGTCAAATCAACGCCGTAGTCATTGTTGGTATTGTGGCACTGAACTGGGTATGCCTGGGGGGCGGCTGGAAAGGGCTACTCGCATCGCTCTTGGCAGGAGTAATTGTGGCTTTTGGAATTCATCTCTGGCTTCGAAATATACAAGACAATGCCAATGCCATTAATTGGGACTCTGAGCGCCAGCGAGCGACCGCCGCAACCGAGTCTTTGGTTCCAGAATCCGTAGAGTGGATGAATTCGCTAATGGGTATCGTGTGGAAGCTGATCAACCCGGAGATTTTTGCTGCCATGGCAGATACGCTTGAGGATGTCATGCAGGCATCCGTTCCGCCGGCATTGATTCAAAATGTCAAGGTGTCGTCGATTGGGCTCGGAGATGAATCATTCAAAATCCTTTCGCTTCGTTCTCTTCCTTCAGCAGAAGACGGCGTAACGGTGCAAAACGAGACAAGTGAACAGACTATGGCAGAAGAGAGTCAAACCAATAAGAAGGAACAGAGAGAATTGGAGGGCGAGGACGATCCGAACTGCAAGTACTACAACCTTGAGGCTTCCTTCGCGTACCATGCGATCCCCGCCTCGGGAGTAATTGGAAAGGTTTGTAATTCAAAGCCCAGTGCTTTTGTGCTCACTCTGGAGACTTATTCTGCTCCCAACAATGCATGATGCCTACGCTGATGCGAGGGAATTGTAATGCTAACTGCAAATGCAGGCCAAAAACTTGCATCTAGAAGTCATTTTCTACCTTGGAATCCAAAGCCTCCTTGGCGTCCCCATTCCCATCTTTGTCGAATTGAATGGTATTATTGGGACAATTCGTCTTCGGTTCCAACTGACTCCCAATCCACCGTTTCTCAAAAAGCTCACATTTACGTTTATGGGTCTTCCGAAAATTGACGCATCCGCTGTACCACTGACTTCCAAGGGGATCAACGTTCTTGACTTGCCTTTGATCTCTGGATTCATCAACTCTTCTATTGCCGCTGCGCTGGATATCTACGTTGCCCCGAGGTCCCTCATCATGGATGTATCCAAATTGCTTCAGGGGGACTCGGTGAAGAAGGAAACCGATGCCATGGGCCTCATCTACATCAAAATCAAACACGCGAAAGGCATCGCTGCCCAAGATAGATCAGGCAAAAGCGACCCATTTATCACCCTCGCATTTTCCGAGTTTGGAAAACCAGTCTACTGTACTCGCATCATCGAACAGGAACTCAATCCCCGGTGGAACGAACAGACGTGTCTTCTTGTCTATCAGGATCAGCTCACAGCAGGCGAAAGGCTCTCTGTTGAGCTGTGGGACTCAGACATGATTACCTCTGACGATGCGGTTGGCAAGGTCCATTTTGACCTTCGAGATCTGATTAAGAATTACGGCAATCGAATCGCCGAGCGCGCTGACACACTTGAAGACGAGAAGGGGGAAGCGTTGCCCGGAACATTGTACTGGGACATTGGCTACTTTCCCAGGTCAAAATTAAAGGAGTCCATGAAGACAGACGGACGCGACGCTTCCTTACCAGAGTCCATCCGGCACCGACCTGAATTTCACGATGATAAGGGCACGGTAATGACGCAGCATGAAGTCGATGTGACTACGACACCCCCAGACCCTTCGCTTCCATCCGGCATCTGTTCAGTTCTCATTCATCAAGTCTCGAATCTCGAGGTACACCGCCCTTCTGGAACATTTGGCAACTATCAACCCTGGACACCAGCTCAGATCACCGGGGAGAATACCGACGAAGAGGCAGATGATTTGCCGTCTTCCTATTGCACCATTCTCCAGAATGATGAATTGGTGTTCAAGACGAGGACCAAAGTCAAGAGTTCAACACCAATATTCAATGCCCAGACTGAACGATTTGTCAGAGACTGGCGCACGAGTGTTTTCACAGTAACATGCCGAAACAGTGTGTACCGGGAACATGACCCGATCCTGGGTGCGGTAACAATTAAATTGAGTGAGGTGCTTCAGACAGCGTCACAAAAGACTGCCGTCTATGCCCTGGATGGCGGTATGGGATATGGCCGCATCACCATCTCGGTCTTGTTCAGGTCAGTTGACCTCAAGCTTCCCAAAAACATGCTCGGTTGGGACATTGGCAGCATTGAAGTCCTAGGTGACAAGGTCGTTGTCGAGGACGATTCCGCTGGTACCTTGTCGAATTCACGAATTGCCGTCTACACGGACTCGGCCAAAGGCAACATTCACCGCCGCTGGATCAACAAAGGCAGAAATAGACCCGGCACCGTTGAGTGGAACCTTGACCATTTCAAAGAAGGATCGAATGAGCTGCAGCTACACCGTATTCTCATCCCAGTGCGCCATCGCTATCAATCCCCTCTGCGGTTGCTGTTTTTCAGCCCTACCAGCCGAAAGCCTATCGCATATGCAGTATACTGGCTCTCCGACTTGGTTGATAACACATCCACTACTCTGACTCTTCCGATATACAAGACCTCTCGGCCAAAACAGCTTGCGCAGAACTACCATTCTACTGCCAAGGCAATAAACGATCTGGAAGCAGAAAAAATTGGCACTGTCGAGCTAACGGTGCGGTTCAAAATGGGCATGGACAACTCGCATCAACAATGGCTCAAAACAAATGACGACCACGAGAGCTACGAGAGTTGGAGATGTACTCTTGCCGAGGGCTATCGCACGCGGATCGTGAAGCGGGAGACGCCCGGTGCAGTAAAGGACGTTGTAACTAACCGAAATGCGGACAACGAGGTCGCGGGAACCAACTCTGACGATGTTGAAGGTGCCGAATCCGCAGAGGACGACGAAGCCGACGCCGACGCCTTCCGGTTACCATTCGGGGCGCCCAGCTTCGACAAAGAGGTTGATTCGTCATATTCAGCAAATTCCGACTCTTTAACTGGTGTTGAGTTTGCGAGTGACCTGGGCCGGTACGCCTCTTCGGCGTCCTCGGTTTTCTCAGATGACCATTCTTCAATCGTTCTCCAAGAAGACCTTACGGATTCGGAAATAGAGGACGCAGAGCTGAAGAGGGCAAGACAGAAACAGGATAAAAAGGAGAGCAGGGCGGAAATGCATCGGAAACACCGAGGAATAATGAATATCTCAGCTCTAAGGCATTTGAAGTTTGTAAAGGATGAAACAAAGGTGCTGGGGCATAAGATTAAAGATAGATTTAGTATGAAGGGAAGGGAACCTGGAGGTGAGTTACACGTCCAAATTACATTTCTGGCAAGTTTGCTAACTGCTTCTATAGTCGAAACGGAAATATGAGACCTAGAAATGAATGGAACACAGCTAACAGGGAGGGAAAGAGGACCTCGGAGCCTGGTGGCGCCATATAATTAATACAACAAACGAGCCTGCGAGAGGGGCCAACAACGGTTCTGCTTCAGGCACTGTTTATAACAGTGCCAAACGTGGCCTTGTATTTTCCACTACGCAATGTAACAAAGAAAACGTGGGCGAATTTGTGTACTTCACTGCCTACACCATTTTGATGCAGAATGGGGAATAAGCGCTTTGTATTACACCGTGTCGGCCGATTGCAGATTCGTGCGGTTTCTAAGCGGTCGGTTTTTCATGACTCTACTAAATTAACATGCTTTCAGGATCCTTGATAAACTGTTCCATCTTTGCAAGACCCACGAGATCTCCTTCAATCGTGTCTACCAGCTCCTTCGGCACCCAACCCTCGGTATGTCCGCCACCAAAGTCCACAAGCCATGTATCCATGTTCCCGTCAACCAGTACATTAGCCGGCTTAGCATCGCCCCAGGATATGCCCGCGGAGTGTAACTGGCAAAGGATGTCTCGAATTTGTCCTATCCAATGATGCCTGAGGGTGGCTGGGGTTTCTGGCCGAACTGGACATGAGAGCGTCACGCCACCACAGTCCACATTGGTGAGTAGCAGGCCATAGACTATCCGTTTGTCCTTGACGAGCCCCAATAAGCGCGAGATGCGAAGCGATGCATCGACTGGCGCGCTTCGGATGGCCTGCAACCTCCTGTCTGAGGCTCCAATTGTCACCCAGGTGCATCATTTTGAGAAAGGCCTGGGTGCCGTCCGGCAACAGAACCCTCCTTGGCACATGAGTCGGAACTATGCCCTGGTTTCCTTGGTCGATACAAATCTCGGACGGTAGGTATGTAGGCCACTTCCCGCAGTACTCTTCGCTTGATGGAGTGCGTTATTTCGATGCGCTATTCTGGCCAGGGGCCATGGACTTTGCAACCAGCTTTTCGGAGATGCCACATATCTTGTAATGGTACGTTTCTGGGGAAAGAAAGTCTTGCACAGACCGCTTGCGTGGGCTAGGTGAAGGCTTCATTCCGTGAAATATAGGAAAAAGAGGCTCGGCGGCCCAATCGTACAAGTCGTCAACAGTACACCCATCGAGCTCAAAACCTTCAGCAACCTTCAAGAAGAAAGGTATCTTTGAAGAAGTTGAGGGGATGCATCGAAGTTGCTCTCGGAGAATTGGAGGACAAAGCGTACCCCGTTGCACATGATGACAAGCTGGGAGTCGGTGTTGCGGCTTGAAAATGCAAGGTTGATGGCTTCCCAAGGTGAGAACGCGTCGTCACCCTCTCGGTCCGTGGAATCGTTTCCCATGATGGCCAAATGCATCGAGGTCGGTGGGCAGAAGATATGGCCAAATCTGGTCCTAGTTACGTAGCCACTCTCGTGAGTTGGAATCCCCGACTTCCCGTGTCTCTTATCCGTCAACCAACAGGGGCGGGTCATCGATTAGGTCCCGAGTTCAGCCATCTGCCTTCAGATGTTGTCTTTGGTCAATGCCAAGAGTGAAAAGCCAAGAGGCGGCAAATAGACCAAATGGCTTGCAACTGCAGCTCCGAGAACCACTCGTCTACACATGAGCCAATTGTGCGTTTCTTTGATGAGGCGAGGTTAAATTAAATGCATATACTAGCTAATATACCGGAAACTACAGGGGAGCGAGACTGGGTCTGAGAAGGCATTGATGGCATGGAAAGCATTGGCGAGAACTACCCAGGGACTGGACGTTTTACGAAGGATGAGCAAGTTGATTGCCTCATTTATCGAGGCCCGCATGATGCCCGAGACATGAACAACGGGGTGAGTGATGTTACAGTAATGCGTCGTATTTAAACCTGCCTATTCATGCGGCGTGACAACAGCCACGCACTAAAATTCGTCAAGACTTGAAAAACACTAAAACTACAACGTTGATGTATAGTGAGTGCCTTGTGCCATTTGGCTTTCGGAACGTTTAGCCCTTCGTCACTGCTAGACTCGAGTCCCCTACCCTAATCTCCTCAGTGTGGTTCATGCATGCTGCCGTCTTGCGAGTCATTCAGGCCCGGATTATGACACGAGATACTCCGTACAGCCTTGCCACCCCAATTTACATCTAATGGGCCAAATCCGTATATAAATGCGGCAAGTCTAATCGTGTCGTTTGCTTTCGCGTAGTGGATAAGTCCAGTCACAAGCATAATCTAGTGATCATGGAGATTTTAGAAGTGAAGTCAAGGTGTTTTCATAATGTGAATTGGCGTTGAACGCAGGGTAGGGATACAATCATAGAGGGTCTCACGCAACACTAAATAGATGTAGAGGTGTGGCGCGCTGCTCTCGAGGCTCTGGACCAGCTCTGACAGTCTGGAGCTACGACACTTCAGCTTCGGATACTGGTACCGGTCTCCTAGCCAGGAGCTGTTATCTGATCACAAAGCCTTTTCGCGAAAGAAGCCGCAGGTATACGGAAGATGAGGTAAAGAAGGCCTCCGCTATTACTCTTGCATCGAAGCCGTTGCGGAATACTTGGTAGTATGTACCAGACGTATGTATGTGGTTGACTACAACTTACATTGATTGATAAGACCTGCGCGGTGGCACACAGCGCCTTGCACCTACACGCGCCTTTCTAGGCTGGGCCGTAACAACTACATCCGGGTTAGATGTGACAAGGGCAGGCCAACTGGGCTTGGAGCGTAATGGTTTTAATTTAATCTTTCATAATTGACTCTATGATATTAAAGGTCCTTAGTTCTCTAAGAGGCCTTAAGGGACCAGAGGTCTTTATATATATAAGAGTCAATTTTTGCCAGAGGCCTGAGGCAACTCCCGCCCAAGGTCCGACCTGAATACCTCGAGTGCTTCTTTATTGTTGTGTGACCGTAGTTGGCCCAACGCCTTTGTTGTGGCCTAACCGTGTTACACCGGGCCGCTAATCTCACTTGATTCTTGTCTAGTCGTTGGACCTCGTCAAATGTCACACTTGCTAAGCTTTTGCCTCGTGAGCAGCTCCGAGTAGCAAGCCCGGTACGCAACTGCCGGCCGAGTAATATTCAGGTTTTACGTTAGCCTTGAATTGATTGATGGGCTTGAACCGAAGGCAATGCATATCCCGTGTGTAGGCTAATCAAGTCACCCACGTGTTACTGCAGTATATCATCATCCAACTCATGGCTCTAATCGCATCCCAAGCTTGTTCCGGGCACTTCGGACCCTATGCGCTCACTTTCCTTCTTCATATATACGCATTTCTTTCCCAACACTATCCGGCGTGATCTGACGTTCCCCGAGAAGTACCCCGGATTTCGTTACCAAGGCCACCGCCCGCACCACCCAGGCGACCAAATCTAACTTCCAAGAGGCCATGTCTTGCATCCGGATTCGACTCCTTCAAAGTGAATGTCATCCTCAAGATTAACATTTCGGTGACAATGAGTGATGGGGAAAAAAAACCTACCCCAACATGTATCGCCCTTCCCGGCCTGATCCGGAGAAATTTCCTACTTTGAATGCCTGGTGTCCGCACGGGAGAGCTGCGGGTGGCACCTCTCCCCAGAATTACGACTCCAAGGGTCCTTTCTGGATGGGTATTTCCCACCAAGCCTCTCCGGCTACGAGAATTTTAAAGGCCCTAACCCTGCCGAGTGGTGTGAGGGGGGATACGTGGTGGTTCATCCTGATGCTCGTGGCGCTTGCCAATCAGAACGTGACATCAATGCCTGGGGGCAGCAAGAAGCGATCGAGATCGACTTTGTTGACTGGTTCTGGAAGCAAGACTGGTGTGATGGTAGCGCCGTAATGTTTGGCAATTCGTGGCTCGCCAGTCAGCCATGCCACAACGTATCGAAGCAATCGCTCCTTGGGAAGCAATGACTGATGCGTACCAAGAAATATGCTGCCGCGGCCGTGTGAGCTGTCAAAAGAACTCCTTTGCGCAAACTCTATGCATGTTCTGAAGCTTTGTATTCCAAGAGGTTACAATTGACGCGATACAGCATCGACCAAGGGTTTGCTGGAATGTCGAAAGCGGAGGATATTTGGTCTAATGTTGGTCCTCGACCTCTCTACGATGACTATGGGGAATCCAAGCGCAATGATATCGAGAATCTGGGACATTTCAATGTATTTGACTGCTTCTTACTCGTGAAACAAAGCTGCCATGTACACTGACTCGTCTCTCGCCCTAGCTTACCTATGCCCAGCTCCCGACTTCGTTCACAGGGCTCCTTCACCACGTTTGGGAAGGCGACATCTTCAAACAAGTGGCTAAGAATCCAAAGCATCACAAGATTGCAAGACTAGACTTCCATGTGCTACTAGCAGGGTACCTTTGACATTGAAAAATTTCCCCAGGGCATGACCTATTTCGCAGAGAAACAATGGATGATCTACAGAAGTTCTATGATTGCTTCACCAAAGGCACACTTGACAATATGGTCTGGTTGGATGGAAACCCCTCCACTACGAGTGTCTTTGATTGCCATGCCCACGATCGCCATCAATTATATCGTGTCGACGCAACGACGTCTTTGCCCGACCCTTGTTCAGAATCTAACCAGTGACAGCTGCCTGCTTTTTCAAAGTGTACTCATCTGGATCCCAAGCCAATTCCCTCGTCTCTGTCTCGGCCATTTTCTTGTCCACAAAAGATCCCATAGCCACCCGGGTCTGTTCATCAAGCAGCCCGAATCGGTTCATCCAAGTATCCTCAGGAGGCGTAGTATCCCGTTCGTCTGGCCCAAAGAACCGTGGGTCAAGCTTTTTCCAATAGACGCAGTCAAATGCAAAGTTTTTCCGCGCGGCGTAGACGGTCCAAAAGTCGCCGGTGGCCCAGCTCTCACGCATCTTACAGGATAGTCGCTGATGCTCTTGTAACTTTCCAGAGGCTATAGCGGCGTCTTCGCAATCTACCATGGCCTTGAGAAATACCTTTAAGCGGTGTTCGTACTTTTCGATCCAATCATCAAGGCCTTCCTTCCAGTACTCGGGTTGCTCAAGGAGCAGCCACCACGGAGGAGCAAATGTAAATTCATTTGGCGCGGCATAACTGAATTCCCAATCAATAACGCCAACGATGTTTAAATTGGCGTCGAGTAAGATATTAGATGGCCGCAGGTCGTCACACCAGAGTTTAAAGGGTCCTTCATCGTATTCACTAGATAGAAGCCGCCTTTCGTTGGCAAGCTTCTGGAATAGATGTCTAGCCACATACTTGCGCTGGCAGTCGGCGACGGAGTCGACCGCGTCGTTCCGCTGGTGGGCGAGATGATGGACGTGAAGGGTTGCTAGGCTTTGGAGATATTCAGATGTGCTGCTAAAGGTGGTGTCGGGCAATTTATCCCGCGGTAAAGTCCCAACCCTAACCAACTCATTCATGGGTAACGATAAGGGGCGGCGCGTAACCTCCCATGACCATTTTTCAGTCTCTCCAAGAGCGCCTATGAGAGGGAACTCTAATGCAGAGAGCTGAAGCAGTATTTTTGCAACCTGGTTATATAGCATCTTAAGCGTAGCCTCGTCAACATTTGGGTTCAAAATAGGCCGGTCATCGCATGAAAGACTAGGAGTATTCAGCGCGTCAACCATGTCCATTTCATGATTGACATACTCCATAATAATAAACGGGCCTATATTAAGAGGGCTCTCGTCCTGGGTACCCCAGTGGTGGACAAAGGGAACCGGTATCGTGGCGTGATATTGGATAAATCTCATGGTTGCGACCTCGTTTTTTATCTTCTCCTTTGGAAACATTGTAGAGCCTGGCTTGGTAAAGCGTATCACGGCTGAACCGCCGTCTAGAAATTTCATCCTGAACAGCGCGTTGAAGCCGCCAGCCCTTGGTTCACATAGCTCAGTGGGCACTCCTTGTCGGTGCTTGGCAATAAACTGGCCGATTGCCCTCATGGTTGCTTCTTCGAAAAGAGAGTGGCGCCAGACGCGCTCAACGCGGTCACTCTCTTCCCAGGCGACATCGTCGCCTCTCATCGCCATCTTATCGAGGCGGTAGTTGGGCAGGGGAAAATGTGCAGGCAAATGTTCAAAGGCGATGATCCCTCTAGCTTGGGAGGAACATGGTGTCGGGTGGTGGTGAGATTTTGCAATTAGGTGCGGGCACACGGACTCACTCGGGTGAACGGGGCACCGGTGGCAGGATGTCTCACAGAGGAAGGCCGAGCTGGTGATGGTGACGTGGAGAACTGGCTGATGAACGTGGTTGCAAAAGCTGAAGAAATTCAAGCGGGAAGACTGCTCCTTTGTACCTTACTTCGCCCGCCTTGGGATCGAATGTTGGTTGATGTATTGGTTATTAGGCAGCAGCGCCGGAAATGCCCTCAAACGGTCACAAGGACACATGGTCGCATAAATGGCCGCAGTACAGTCACTGGACAAAAGTCTCGATAATGACCCATTTTTACACCAAAACTTATACTTTTTAAGTATAAATAAATCAAGAATTTTATATTTAAGTAAGTTAAGACCATGCTGTATTATTTATTATAAGAATTTAATATAAGTTTAATTTTTATAAATTTTTATTAAAAGGTTAAGTAATAATTCATTAATAAAAGTAGTAAGTTTAGGTGTAAAATCGCTAATTATCGTGACTTTTGTCTACCCACTATACATGCGCAGGCCAAGAGGTGGGTCGGCTTTACTCCTCTCAAGTTCTAGCATGTGACGGTACAGAAAGAATGCTCGCTCACCTTCAACGCCTTCGCCAGATGCTTGACGATTACTGAACAGGATGCTGTGAGTTTGTAGACGGAGCCGACGTGGATTAGCACATAGTACTCCGCAGTGCAGGGCCAGAGAGCTGCTTTACCTTGTCCACATTTAGACTTGACAAGGTGTATGTTGACCTTTGTCGTGTCAGCATGTCCCCAATGTCTTTTTGACAGAGCCATGTTTGGCAAGTAATTGATGCCTTGCCGTCACAAAATGGAGGCATTTTGCGGTGAACCTACACTTTTGCTACAAAGTCAAATCGGGATGAATGATTGGCCCATGGTCTGAATTGCGAAGGTTTTGGTCGTTTAGACTCTCCACGTCCAGGTTCTCGACAAAGGTCAACGGCTGCTTGGATTGGGCACTGAGTGTGTCAAATATGATCCATTAAGTTGAAAACAAGAGGAAGTTGCTATAGGAGCAAACCGGTCATCAACGTTGGATTCGTCATGGAGTGCGCGATCAACGCGTGTGACATCCCTTCGAATACTTCTTGACGAGCCTGTTGGGCCAATTACTATAAACTCAACGAAAGGCGCCAAGCAGCCAATTATATAAGGCACGTATCAGCCGGTAATAGAATTACGCCATGGACATTCGAGTATTGTACGGAAGACTAGGCTGTATGCTAGAAAGGAGTAGAGTGTAAAAACGGGTACCCGTGGGCACCTATAGGTATTTAAGTTTTTCTTAGGTTATTCGTGGGCTACTTGTTTTATTATATAAGTAATTTAGGTATATTATAAGTAACCTAATATAAAGATAAGTACTTTATAAATACCTATAAAACGTAAAATAATATAATATAATAATATAAATTAATTTTCTTAAATTAATTATAATAATTAATTATAATAATTAATATTAACTCTTTAATATTTAATTATATTTATAATAAGTTTTAAGTTTAAAGTATAAAGTAAGTTATATAAGTTTTATTTAAGTACTTAAAAACACTTAATATTCTTAATAAATAATTATAAGTATCTTACTTTCCCTTATAAATTTATTTAAGTCTTTTTTCTTACCTATACTTACCTAAAGCCCACGGGTAAGCAACCCACACGGGTACCCGTGGACCTTTTACACCCTAGAAAGGAGTGTGCGTAATAAGCGCAACCCGACCGAGGACAGGAAACCGCCGTCTCGCGCCTTTTGTAGCAAGAATTCGCCATCGTCAGGGCTAACAACGTTGGGAGAACATCTTTGCGCTCGGTGCAAAGCGTTGTCGGAGGTGTTGGGGTTGAGTGGCACAATAGCACAGAAGCCACGAGCTGGTCTCGCAGCACTTGATCACCTTCAAGTATACGGCCTTGTGAAACTTCAGCATAGAATCTTTGACTTCAACTACAATATTCATTGGAAAATCATTGCGTTACTGTCGGCTTCACTTGTATTCCACCCCCCTTTTTCCCAAAAAAAAACAAACAAAAAATCAAGTGCTCCTGCAGCCGTAGCCATGCAGAAACAATTCTTTGTTGGCCAGTTGCCATCAAGTCAGAGCGAATCGGTCCATACTATGGCCTTTAAGACCTTCGAATAACAAGGAGGAAGTGTGGCACAGCTTTTTCTTTTGCCGATCCATCGTGTAAGTGGCCAGTCACCGTCCCAGGTGCATCAAGGCGATGTGGTAGTGTCCAACAACAACTCTCAGCATTGTATTTCCAGAGGAGGCAGGGCGAGAAGCTCTCCTCTCTCTCGACAATACGGATGTCTGGGGAGTCGGTCGAGCTCTGGACCGCGATAGGCTCCGTGCGACCTCCTCGGGGGCCGCGAGCATTTCCCATCGTGGGAGACCAGTCTGAGATTTACCCAGATCCGCTTGGAAACTACCCTCTTTACGCGCCATGGCCCTGTCACCAAAACCACCAACATAGGGGTGACCATCTACATCACCAACGATGCTGAGATCTCCCGCTACGTACTGGGAGAGGGAGAATCGTTCACCAGGGGTCCAGGACCACCTCGGATCCTTCTCACCCACTATACTACAGGAATGAGCAGACGGCACTATTTACATGCGACAGCGCCACGCGGGCATTTCCCCCAGCTCACAATGTCCCCGAGGGCAGTCACACACTACGCGCCTCTGGTACAAGATGCGACCCGTCCAGTATTCAAGGTTCTCGACCAACTATCGGATCAAAAGCTCGAAGGTGACGTATACCAGTACGTGTTCAAGCTCGCTGGCCAGTTCGTGTTTCGGGTCATACTCGAACAACACCTGCAGCACTTTACCTCGCTATCGACACCACCGGGAGTCGCAATCCGTCTTTTACCTCGGCTCATGAAGAAGACTTCGCTGCGTCCGAGATGGTAAGGCAGCCTGCCTTTTGGTGAATCTGCTCGCTTGAAGGTTGTTCGGCGCCTCCTCTTCAAGACGATCGCCGACGAGATGGACGTGTTCATGCCAGGGACTGGCCTCCTGTCTCTAGAGGATCCCACGACACCAATACAAGCTGCCTGTGTCGAGGACTTCTTGTCTTGGGCCCGCGGTCAAAAGGTGAAGTTGCCGGAAGATATTCTGCTCGGCAATGTGGTCGTCCTTGTCGCTGCCGGCTTCACGACTACGTCGTCTCTCCTTTAATGGGCTCTCTACTCGCTGGTCAAGCACGAGGGCAATGAATAGTGCCACTTCCAGGAACTCATTGACCATGGAGCGCGCGGATAGTGGAAATGGACTCATGCCACATGAAATTCATGGATTTCGTCAAAGAAACAACGAGGTTCCACAGCCCTAGCTTCCAAACCGGAAGAAATACAAAGACAGGTGTCATTTTGCCTGGCGGCTACCTTACTCCCAAGGGCGCGATGGTCATTCTGTCTTTTCCAACTTTGAGCAAGAACCCAGCCTACTGGGATAACCCGGCGCAGTTCGATCCAGATCGGTGGGCCGTCCCCGGCATCTCAGGCACAGTTATGAAGAATGGGACGTGCTCGCCATTCGCGGCAGGCGGGAGGGGATGTGCATCTTTTAAACCTCGCGCTGATGCAAGTCCAGACGGTCCTTGCGGAGCTTGTGTATAGTTATCATTTTGAGGACCCTTCGACAGAGGCCGTCACATACGATCCTGAGTTTCTTGTAATTCGCCCGCTTCACTTTTACGCAAGCCCGACGAGAAGAACTGAGTCGCCAGCTCAATGCCAAGCCAGCACCATGAAGCGAAGCGGCAAATGATCACGATGGTTTTTGCCTGTTGAGAACTGGGCAAATTTCGCACTCTAACTTGTAGCTAGACCAACATTCTTGCAATACATTTCTTTACAGAAACGTTGAGTTTCCAGCGGGCTTACATCTAGCTTCCACGTGCAAAGCACTATTCCAATACCTATCCACTACGTATTCAGGACAACCAAATTCACCCAATTCGGTTGCAGGTCAAAGTCCCCGTAGCCCGAGGTAGAATTGCGCTCCAGCAAATCGATGCCATCAGCACTATCAACTACATTTTTGACTAAATTACGCCACTCAAGAATAACCAGGCCGCATGAACAGCGTCCTAAAATGGCTCGGTCCGTTCAAGAAACAGCCGTCAACTACACAGGGAGCCCACTACGCATCCCTTGCAACCCGGCAAGCCACATGGGCAAATTCGAATGCCTCCGCTCCAAGGCGGCCACTCCAAGGCTTCGGAGGCCTCAAGTTGGGACAAGGGCACCAAGTCCGAGCTGGCTTTGCTGACGGCGGGACAATCAAGACGCAAATGGGGTTGAATGTTATCCACGGCTGAGTATCAGCGGACCTCGTGGTATCACTGCTTCCATCGGCTTGTTACTAGCTAGGGCCAACGGCTGTATTAACAGCTGGGTCAACGGCCGTACAAACGGGTACACTGATGGGCACACGAAAGGATATACGTATGTGAACGATTACAACTCGATGTCGCTCTCGGAGATGCTTCAAGCGTCCATCAATGCCCTCAACCACCGTGGTCCCGATGAGTCGGGGATGTGGATAAGCCAAGATCAGAGCGTCGCTCTCGGCCACTGTCGACTTCCGGTCAATGATCTCACGCCGAGCGGCAGGCGACCACTGGGCCCTGGCAAGCGACGACGGAGATATCCACGCCGTGGTCAACGGTGAAATCTACGACCAGGATCAACTACGACAGCTCTGCGCCGACAAACACGGGTAAAATTTTCCAGCGAGAGCGATAGCCGGTTGCTCGCGTTGTATAGAATTTACGGGACGCCCGGGTTTTTCCAGCACTTGCGTGGTGAGTTCGCGTTCGTCTTGTACGACGAAAGGCAAGGCCGCCGGCGGGTCATCGCCGCACGGGATAGGTACGGCATCAAGCCGATGGTCTGGACGACTGTCGGTGACAGAGTTCTCACGGCGGCCGAAGCCAAGGCTTTCCTGCCGCTTGTTGGTTGGAAGCCGAGTTGGGTTGTCGAGGCGATTGCCACGTCGGCCTGGCAGTTGAATGTTCGAACGCTGTTCAAGCGAGCCAAGAAACTGCTGCCTGGGCATTGGCTTGAGGCCACGGAGGGAGGACTTCAGTCTCACCGATACTGGGATGCCGAGTACGAGGACAAGGTCAGGATGGTCTTTTTGACGCCCGACATTTGGCCACGAGGCTAACGTGATGAATAGCCCTCGGTGACAGATTTCTCACGGCGGCCGAAGCCAAGGCTTTCCTGCCGCTTGTTGGTTGGAAGCCGAGTTGGGTTGTCGAGGCGATTGCCACGTCGGCCTGGCAGTTGAATGTTCGAACGCTGTTCAAGCGAGCCAAGAAACTGCTGCCTGGGCATTGGCTTGAGGCCACGGAGGGAGGACTTCAGTCTCACCGATACTGGGATGCCGAGTACGAGGACAAGGTCAGGATGGTCTTTTTGACGCCCGACATTTGGCCACGAGGCTAACGTGATGAATAGCCCAAGGCGGAAACTCGGACTGTTGACGAAATGGTCCAGGGCGTGCGTGAGCACCTTGTTGAATCTATTCGCCTGCGACTACGAGCCGATGTCCCAGTGGGAATCTATCCGTCTGCTAGTATCGATTCATCAGCCGTGGCCGACATCGTCACGGAGCTGGCGAGGCAGGAAAACGTCAAGATTAGCAGCCAGCCAAGCACGAAAATAACATGTTTCAGTGAGTTTCGAGCCGCCTACCTCCAAATGCCAAAATTGGATATATTCAGCAGGACAAGGATGGGCAGCAGCCTAGTAGCCACGATGACCAAGGTCCACGATGGCAGAATTCAGCCCCAGGATTGACATGATGTACCGAGAACGGATGTTGCGGGAGGCTGTCCGGCCATACATTACAGATGAGCTGCACAAGCGCAAGAAGCACCCTTTTAGATCGCATGAAGTGGCCTAGCCATTGTTGACGCGTGAAGCTGTCGAGGGGCTAGGATTCGTCGACTATGACGAAGTTGAAGAGTCCATGACCCAATAAGCCTCGCACTAACAAACTCAGGATATATTACCCCTGTTGTTCCCCCTAGCGTCTTTGACCTCTGTCAGTTCCCCGCCGTCACTTCTCAGTGCCTTTCTAGCTTACTTTTTCATACCTACCCTCGTCGGTCTGCCTAGCCACCTTTCTCCACCACCATCGTCACCATAAGTTGTTGCCAAGCCTTACAGTAAGGCTGATGAGCTTGCATGCCGCTCAGACTGCAGCGACCAGCAGGCTATACAACCTGAGCAAGTTCCGTATAAATCTCTTGAAAGATGTGCCGCGTATGAGCGATGTTATCACCAATGCTTGTCTGCCCTTAAGCCCCGTGTCCCCGGGCTTAGGTCGACGATAGGCATTGGTCAGGATATTCTGAAGTCGCTCAAGGAACAATAACACAATCATTTCGACTGGTGCTGACCGGCAGAGGACGACTTTGGCGGCAACTCCCGGGGCTAGGACAATCCGCCCGCGTTGATTGCCGATTTGCGCAACATCGGCAAGTACTGGCGGTGAAAAGGAGCCGTCCTCTCCTCGTGTGTCTTCTTGACGGAGAACAAGTAGGCCCAGGATAGAACAAATATAAGTAAAGGGTATTGAATACCTCGCTCTGGGAATAGCTGGTTGAGGACTTGAAGAATTGCTCCAGCCATGCCGTGACATTGATCGTGAACCAGGCCATACATGTCGTTTGCCCGCGTTATAACGGAAGCAAAAGACGCCAAATACACCATTGCGAGATGTGCCATGGCGCCCACTGTGTTGAATCTCAAGTATTTACACTTGGCGGCTGACAGAATGTATATATGTACTCTTAGCATGAACCATGAATCAAGCTTAAAAAAAAAAAAAAAGTAATAATAATGTTACTAATAATTGATGAAATAAGTAGAGGGAAAATTGAAATGAAAAAAGAACCCCCGGCGGGACCATGCTGTATTATAGTATAAAATCTAATTTTTCTTTTTAGTGTAACACTAATACTAAGATTAGAAATCTTACGCCTCAGCCACTAGGCCACGGGGGCGACATGACGATTTTGGAACTCGCCCAAGATTAATGTATATTATAAGCGATAAAGAAGTCACATACATCGTAAAAATTATTCAACGTTTCTGCTACCAAACACTTGTGTTATATAATATTTAGACCCTAGAGCCATCGCTACGCCGCGCGTTTCTTTCTTGGACCTGATCATCACGTCCCAGAACCGGGTAATTGGGCCGTAATTGGAAGCTTGCGGCCGGGCCCGGATCGACGCTGTTGAATGTAACGGCCTTCCTCCTGGGCCCGATGCCAAGCGTATTGGGCTTGGTCTCGCCACTAGTCTCGATTAACTGACCAACATCTTCTGCTGCTGGTAGCCGCGATACTAAAGGCTAGCTGAGCAGAGCTCTTGGAGATGCTGGGGGACATGATTTCTTTGCTGCAAGGTCTTCTGGTAGATACCATAGATTTATCGCTACCTAATACTGGAGATGGAGCTACTAAAAACGCCATTACTCTTATTAACTCAGCATATTAATAGCGATTATCGCGTTGATTAACGAGTCGGGCTGCAAGGTTGTGATGGGCTTGTTGAATTAAACAAGACTATTGCCGGAAGGTTGGCCGTGACGGCTGATAAATTGAAGGACGTCGAGGTAAAAGAAAGGCTGTAGAAGCAGCGCTTGAGGTCTGTGGCAGAGGACTTCCGTTGGATTGATGCTGCAGTCAGAAGGCTCGTAGCAGTTTTTGATTGATAAAGCCGTCTGGTGCTTTACGCCCTGGAGACTGAGCCTCACCTTTCCAGAGAAATCTTAGTCTCATCAGCCGTACAAAAGACTGTTGCGCACCAAATACTATATACGTCAATTACGCTGTTACCAAGACTCAAGAACTGCTGGAAAAAGTCTACCCGACAAGTCAAACTGTACTAATTCTAGTTACTTCTTCTTACCCTTCTTCCGCTTTGATGCTTTTCCCTTTGGCTTCGTCGCCCCTGACTTCTTGGACTTCTCCCTATCAACAGCATCCTCCGCCAGCAGTTCTTCAATTCGCCTGTTCACGTCTTCTTCTTCATCTAGTACCTGCGCTTCTTCATCAATTATTTTCGCTTGCACCTCAGCCATGTCGCGCCATGAACTATCCAAAACACACTGTCTCGCCATTTCCCACTCATTGTCACCGGCGTCGTCAACACGTTTCCACTCTATCCATCTCTGCGGCATGGTGTCAAACCAACCGACATGCCGGTCAAAGTCCCGAAGGCTGGGCTTGTCGCTTTTGCTGTGTACCAGACGGTTAGGCCACCTTCGGGTTATCGTGTTCTTCTCCTTGTATTCCATGCCGAGGAATCCCGTTTTGAAAATGCTCTTCTCCTTGTCGGTTTCACAGTCGATTGCGAGATAGAATGCAAAAAGCTTCGCGTTTTCGATAAACCTGTGTCATGAACTGCTCGTAAGCCACATGCCGCAGACGGCCTTCGTACTCGAGTTACGTCTTACCGCTCCGAAAACTTGTCCCAGTTGCGCCACATCAAAAGACCAATTCGCCGTCGAATGACGGTTTCTGTTTCACAACCTTGTTCTATTCTGACTGGGGGGGCATAGTCGTCAAGAATTGTAGACGACGGCTCAAAAGTCTGGTATCCCTCTTCACAAATCTCCCCTTCCAGTTCTGCGTCAGAATTGGTGACCGATAGTCGACACATAGCCAGCATTGTGGCAAACGGATTCTGGTCTTGGTGTCGCAGGTTCCCGGCCGCAACTGTCAAATTGCACGCAGGATTAAAATCCCACAAGTCTCCCATCTTGTTACATCAGCCAATTTGTTTGGTGCGCGGTTTTGGAACAAACTCACGTGAATACGATCATACATGACTGGCTCAGGAGCTCGATGAAGGGTCATGGACATCCCTACCGAAGTGAGGCCAACCATTATGGACAGTCGTTTGCTTTCCTCTTGAAATCTGACTAATATGTCGCGCAAATAGTAAAACAGTTTGCCATATACATCATCTTGGACTAACCCGTCTTGGAAGTCGAGAAACTCCATGGGCCACTCTGCGATGGGCTCTGCGGTTGCTCCATGTGGATAACAACCGTCGCCCTGGAAGAATATGCTACATCAAAATCAGAGGTTAGTTCAACCAAACCAGATGAAGCGCAAGGTAAGGAGAGAAACTTGCGGGTTTAACATGTCGAATCCATCTGTCGGGTGTCCAAATGGCAACAACAAGCCATCTTTTCTCCATTTCATCAAGCCCGCAGTCCTGGAACACGTCATTCGGGAAGCCGCTATTTTGAGAGGTTCGCAACTCTTTTCAGCATCCAGAGCTCGAACTATGGCTGCCTGATCAGTAGACATTTGTTTGTCTGGTTTTAGAACCCTGCTTATCAGGCGCCATTGGCGCTCAAACAAGTTTCCAACGAACTTGATGTCACCGTCGCCCCATGACATTTGATATGATACCTCATATCCAACACCATCGTCAGATACGCTCTGCTGTTCTCTTCTGGCAGTCTCAAAGCACTCATCAAAATCCTCGTAATATCCCTTCATAACAACGTCTACATGGTGCCAGAGAGCTAGTGGCAGCTGCGCTGAGTACCAGAGGTGAATCGTTGCTTCGGCATTCAAATAAGGATCGTGATGCCGATCGAAAAGCAGGTGTATAGCGAAGAAGTCCCGACAAACATGTGCTGGAGTGGTAGGGTTCAGGGCTAGTCGAAGGACTGGTTTGGCTGTCTTTGGTATCTTGAGAAGCGTGTATATGAAGTGTCGAAATGAAGACTCTAAGCCAATGTTATAATGCGAATCTCGGGTTGACAAGTCCAACTAACGTACGTCCATGTATAAACATCGACAACATTCCATTGAAAAACCGCCCTTCGTTTTTCTCAAGGTTCAGTAAGTCTGTTGCGGCGTAGTTTGACCAAAAAGTAAAATAGCTATCCACGTCTTTTCGTTCGTCCGCTTGCACGTCGTTCGACACTTGGTGGTCATGCGTCTTCTCGCAGGCTAGTTTGTGCTCGGGCCAATGTCGGGCGCGGCAGGCATGGTCGCAGTACTAGAGATTTTTAATTCAGAGTCAACTTCAATGTGTCTCATCGTACATACAGCAACCAGGTGGCAGTCCAGGCAAGGCATAACCGGTGTAGCGCCGCAAGGTTTGCCGGCCTCATTCTTTGCGGCACAAGTTGGCCGTGTGATGGTATACGTTTCCATTTGCAAGTTTGTTGAGGTCATGGCGACATTGTATCGAAGGCAAGGTGATTAATATCATGGAAAGAAAAGCTCCTAAGCGAAAGATGTAAGCGCTACGGAATGCCCTGGTACGAACTGGTGCGAATTAATATTCGTTCTTGTTGGATCCGAAGATGATGAAGAAAGGTGGACAAAGAAAAGGAAGCGTGCTTGCAAGATGGAACGTCAATAACTGACTGCACGGCAACGACCTCGTCAATATGAATGCGCAAAACGCACGTGCATGGCACGAATGCCAGCTGGGGGGCAGTTGCCAGCCATCAATCGACACGACCAGACGAGACTACGTCGGCCATTTGTTGAAGTACATGGCGTTGCACCTACTCCACGGTTCACCTGAGCATCTTGAACAGAATTTTCGTACCATCAAGGGTTGATTCACCATCAAGTTGTCTTCACCACACGGGCTTTTGACGCTCTGATGAGTAATTGTACACGGCAACCTAGCACATCAAGACAGACCAGCCGTCGGTCCATCTTAACCCTCCCATAATCAGCACCATGACGGCGAATGAGACGACGATACTCGTCGCGCCATATACGTAGGCATTTCTCCTCCTCAAACTGTTCAGCTCCGCGACCCACGTCGACACCGTCGTTAAGCAGCCGCAGAATCCATCCTCCACACCTTGCAGAACCTGACATCCAATAATGCCGCCGCTCTGAACGTGGGCGATATCCCATGCCATGCCCAGTACAGCCGTGCCCATGACGTTGGCGGCAAACGTCCCCAGAGGAAACGCGGCGACTTTACCATTCAAGTAGATTGCGAGGTAGAATCTCGCCAAGCACCCAAGAGGCGCGAACACCAGGGCAAATGTGGCTTTCCCACGCCACTGATCATGCGGAGGGAAGATGGACATGAGTACGGCACCAAGCCAGCATCCCCATCCCAGCAGGACAAACAGAGGATCCAGGACTCTTCGTGTAATCGGGTAGGGTATCGAAGGGATCATGCGCTCCGTTGCGATGGCAAGGTGCGCACCAAAGACTAGCGCTGCCAACGACAGTCCCACGGTGGTGATGATGACTGCCAACATGGCCATGAACGAGTAACCCCCGTTTCGACTTTGAGCCTCGGTCCCAAATCCCGGCTCGACAATGTCATTCGACATGGCCAGGAAAACATCGCGGATAAAGGATGAAAAGCTGGTAAAACTCCCGCAAAAACCAGTCGCCAACCCAATGTACAGAGGTATCGTCTTTTTGGTCGCAAGGTGTTCTTTCTTTGCGGCCGCGGGATCAATGCCAGACGCAGACCCTGCCGTAGATGCGCTCTCCTCATCACTACGCCCCTTTGCACGCGCGAGAGTCTGGTCGTAGGTTGGTGTGCCCCATTCATGGCGGAACAGCATTCGATCTTCAGCGAGGAAGCCCATGATGAGGCTGCCCCCAAAGTTGGCCCAGATTGTGGTGAATATCACGGGAGTGTCGACGTAATGAGTAAGAGCCGTCAGGCCCAATCGCGCCAGCGTGCCCATCAATGAGAAGAAGACCAGGTATGATAGGGTGTATAGTTGAGTGAGAAGTTGGGACACATTTCCCTTGCGAGCTTCTTCTGCTTCAAACGGCCCCTCGGGAAGTTGCTGTGATCGTCTTGTACGCCACTCTCTCTCGTGGCTACGTGCGACTTCTAAGCTCGAATGACGGTAGACGGGGCCGTCGGTGACGTTTTCGACAGGGCAAGGAGCCGCGAGTTCGTCGAGGTTGAGATAGGCATCGGGGATAGAGTAGCTCTCCTCGTCTACTGCGGAGGCTCTTCGACGTCGAGACTTGGAGCGGCTAACCCTCTTTTCCGTGGTTGTTGAGGCAGAAGGGTCGTTGGCCATGGTTGTTGGACTATCCGAGGCCGCGTTGGGCGCGTCGGGTGAGTTGGCGATGGCGGTGGTTGATATCAACTCGTCATCGCGCAGCTTATGCGTGTCACCCGCCATGATGGCTCAGGGATCCGAATTGCATTGACACCGTACGAGGCGGCTCAATGAAGAGGGTTGGAGCATCTTAAAGTCTTGGGTTGGCAGGCCGGGGGTGGTTGACAACAGGAAGGATGCGTGACCGTTGACGGCTGGGTTAGCTGGACCCACAACGGATATACCGGCTGGCACTGGCAGACGGTAAATTTCGTGTTGGCGGCGGTGGAGGCTTGGAGCTGTCCCACAGCGGCAGTGACAAGACGTGATTCGATGGAACGAACAATAAATATCGAGCCGAATTTGTTTTGTGTTGTTGCTATTTTCATGACTATGGGCACAATTTCAGGTGGCCGTTGTCGTCATTCGGCAGACACTGTGCCGACGTCGGTGCATACTCGACACTCCGCAACTTGCAGCATGTTCATTGTTCACAACCCATGTAACTAAGCAGCCCACCCTTCGTCGCCGCCGGCTAGTGAAAGCATGCATTATCCCGGCACCCCAGTCTCGAGCTACGACCTGCCGAATCTAGAACATCAATTGCAAAGCAACATTGACAAGATCGACCTCCTTCTGAAAATATGGTGCCATCCTGATATTTGAAGGGTCCTCGCTGTCCATTGCCATCTGTTCTCTAAACTAGCCGAGCCGCCCATTCTCGTAGTGCGGAATCCGGCTTCCTGGCGCCATCAACTGATATCTTCAATATTCTAAAATTCCATCGACAGCTGCCGGGAGCGGTAATATCCGGCTAACAAGGCTCCATGTAGTCAATCGACATGTCCCCGTATTCAAATGCCTTTTCATTTTATTAATCTGTTTATTTTGCGACTTACGTGCCATCAATATTTCGTCGAACCGCTTGTCGTAGACACAGAACATTCATGTTTCGTGCGGAGTAGACGCCGTAGAATCAGTATTCAAGGGGAAATCACTGTGCCATGACGTGTGATGGGGCTTGACAGCGGGTGCGTACCCCAACTCGATGCCCCATCGCCAACCGCAGCGGAGACCTCCGGACTCCCCACGCCACACGCCACAGATCGCCCAGGTGCCCCTCACCAACCCTCCATCAACATCATGCCGCATCCCGTCAACTGACAAGCGAAATACCATCAGCCGTTAACCATGCAGTGGCGCCCGCCATGTGCAACTGGTCAAACTGGTCCTTATCCGGGCTCGGCACGCAGGCAACCTTATCCGCAGCCGCCCGATAAGTGACACGATGCCAGGTGACCAGCCCTCAAACCTCAAACTTCACACCTCCCAACATTCAATGTCCCTTCCCCCTCCTTGGCCTCGCCCGCTTCCCCTCCCCCCGGATGCTCGCTACCCAGATACGTGAGCACCTCGCCTGTAACCTCAAGCTCCCAGGACTCCCGTCGCCCGCAATTGCATCCGCACCGCGTCCTTGGATTTAGGCACCCAGCCAGTTGACCGTTTGCCTTGCGTTCCCTCACCATGTCGTCCCTCCCCAACGTCCACGTCTCGACGCATCCGTCCCTGCTCACCAAACTGAGCCAGCTGCGCTCCAAAACAGCCGACTCGAGACAAGTAAAAGCGCTCGTGAATGACATTTCGCTCATCCTGGCATGCGAGGCCCTGGCTAAGAATCTTGTAACCGGCCCCGGACCCAAGGTGAACATCCCCCAGTCTACTCTAGCTGTTTCAAACCACCCACTGACGCCGACGCCAGGACGCAACTCCGCTCGGCTTCGAGTACACGGCGACTACGGCGCACCCGCAGACGATTTGCATCGTGCCCATTCTCCGGTCCGGCCTGGGCATGGTGGACGGTAAGAAAAACCAGCTTTCAACCGCGTGGGAATGAATCCGGCATTGACGCAGAAAACGCAGCCGTCCAGACCGTCCTCCCCGCCCCCGTCCCCGTACACCACCTCGGCATGTACCGCGAGCCGTCCACCCTCGACCCCGTCGAGTACTACAACAACCTGCCGCACCATATCCCGCAGTCGTCCGCCGACAACAGCACCGCCAGCAGCCTTGCCATCCTGGTTGATCCCATCATCGCCACGGGCGGCACGTGCGCCGCCGCCATCCAGACGCTGAGGGAATGGGGCGCCAAGAAGGTCCTTGTCATGTCCGTCCTCGGCGCCGAGCAAGGTCTCAAGAGGGCCGCCGAGGAGTGGCCCGAGGGGACGGAGCTGTGGATTGCCGGCGTGGACGCCGAGTTGACGCCCGACGGCATGCTGAAGCCTGGCCTGGGCGATATCGGTGACAGGTTGTTCCTGACGACAGCTAAGCATGCGTAGATGAATCATAGAATTACTGCCCGTCTTGTTTCATATCCTTGTTGCTGGCTGCCTCGTCTCGCAGCAGTACAACTCAAAGCTTGACCTCTATTATATGTACATATATAAATTCCCCCTTGGGGAACATGCCACGGCTATGAAATCATGTACTTCTCCTCGTCTAGCAATGTCCTCTCCTTCCAGCAATCTAGAACCCACCCATCTCCCAAAACACGCGGCACCTTGGCCCAGGAGCTCACTTGTCTCCTCACCGTGTCCGCCGTCTCCCCGACTTCCATGGGGTCGTCTCCCATGACCACCACGTGCGTGACGCCCTCCCGCAGGCTGTCCACCACCTTGCCGCCCGTATACATGACATAATGGACCAGCTTCCCCATCGACCCGTTCACGCCGTCCACGGCTCGAAAATGCACCACGCACCGCCTCATCATGAACCCCCTCAGTTCCGTGATGCCCTTGCCCCTCTCTTCCAACTCGGCCAGAAAATGATCCCCGTCAAAGGCCTCTTCCACCTTGGGCATGCCGCCCAATATCCCCCTCAGCTCATCCACCGAGACGTCGCGCGCATAGCTATCCCCGTACATGTCCGTATTCTTGGCCGCAATAGCGCGCAACTCCTCCGTCGCATGAAACAGGTGGCCCTCCTCGTAGGGCAGCAGAAAATCGCCACCCTGCGCGACGCAGTCCCTGATCCACTTGGGGCGGATAATATTGACATTGCCGCCCTTGATCAAGCTCGCCACCTTGACGACGTTCTTGTCCGCAATGAGAACCATGTTTGTACCCGCGACGGCGCGCTGCGAGATGGTGCCGCCGTTTTCCTTGATAACAGCCTCCAGCTGCGCTTTTGTCTTCTTGTACGGCTTGAGCGACTCGGAGAGCACGCAAAACTCGAGACCGTCAAAGACGTGCGACGCCTCGCCCCGGAACTCAACGGCCGTCGCGTCCTCGCCCACAATCACGACGCTTCTCTTGGCGCGTTTGGGGTTTCTGCGTCTCCTGTCCTCCACCGTCATGGCCTTCTCCTTGGCCTCCCGGTCCACCTGCCGCTTGAGCTCTTCGAACTCGTCCACCGACAGCGCCGAGTCCCACGCGCGGTCGAGGCGTAGCCGGCGGAACCGGGGGAATCGCAGCGTGTACCCCATGGCAAAGCTGTCCGACGGGCCGACGCTGGCTGCCTTTGCCGAGAGCACAACCGAGTCCCTGGGCCGGATCCACACGTCCGGCCGCTCAAACTGCTTGCTCTCTCCGCCGCCGAGCTCGATGTACTCGGTCGGGGGCTTCCGTCTGTCCCACTCGACCCATTTTCCTTCGGTGCGGTGCCGTATCTCGGCGTAGTCCTCGCCGCGGAACCCGCCGCCTACCTTGAAGAAGCTGTAGCATTTTTCGGGGTTGTCGCCGGCCTGGATGTGGTTCTGGGACACGCGGAGCCCGCACAGAAAACTGGACAGCGTGCCGCCTCGTTTGCCGGAGCCGTAGTACCCGCCTATCACGAGGCAGTCCAGCGATTCGCCAAATTCAGACATGTACTCTGGCTTCACCTTGAGCCAGTCGTCGTTGCGGCTGTTGAGTCTGTACATGGAGCGTGGGTTCTTCAGGACAAGACCTTCTGAGGCGTTGGCCACGACTTCTCGGAGCATGGGCTCGATGGCGTCGGCCGTCGTGGCGCTTTTGTGCGTGTGGATTTCGAGGCGCCGGTGAACAGGCTTGATTGCCTTTTCGAGGGCGCGGTGCCGGTCGCGAAGGGTGTACTGCGTGAGAGGTTTGTCGTTGAGATATAATATGTCAAAGACGCGATACACGGGCCGGTGGCCGGATGCGTCGGAGCCGGACTTGTTCTGTTGCTCTGCAATGGCGGCGGTTTTCAAGGTGCCAAAGGGGACAATTTTGTCGACCGCCATGTCCCATGTGATCATCTCCCCGTCCAGTATGAGATTTCGAACACCGGGGGCAAAGGCGTCTTTCAGGTGGCGCGTCAGGCTGGAATTTTCGTCCAGTACGCCGTCGCCGTATAGATACGTGTAATCTTTTGCCTTTCGCGACCAGAAGCAAAAACGCTTCCCTCCGGGGTGGGCGGCATCAGCCACCATGTGCATCTGCATTCGCTCCCCATCCAGCTTCTCCTCAATCCAAAATTCCGGGTCATCCTCTGTCGGCCGCAACAGCTCCGTCATCTTTTGAAAAGAAGCAGGCATCTGGAACTGGGCCAGTTGGGGCTGAAAACACTGCATCAGCGATATGCCGGCTTCTTCTTGCTCCAACCTGACGTCCGGGTCGTACAGCTCCCAGCACACGCGTCTCAAGCTCGACGACACGCTGAATAACGTCTCGCCGTCGGGGTGCCACAGGTAGAGGAACGTCTTCTCCGTGGCACCGACCTTCATTTGCTTGAGGATGATGCGGATGAGCCACAGCATCTCCTCGGCGTTCATGCGATTGTAAAACGTCTCAAACACCCTCAGGTTTTCCGCTTCTCCAGCCGATGCAGCCAACTTGTCCAGCTGCTCATTAACCTCGGCAATGGTCATGTCGCCCACCTCGATCCGCATCGGTCTCTTGGAGATGACCTCGTAGCATCGGCCGGCAAAGTCGCCAGCCAGTCGAGCCGCCATTGTCTGGCCGGGCAGCTTCCAGTGCAAGAGATTGTAGCCATCTTCAGAGTTTTTGTCAATCTTCATGAGCTTTACCAGTAGCTTGCCGATGGCGTTCTCCTTGAGCCCGTAGACACCACGGTCGCGGTCCTTGTCGGGCAGAATCAGCCGCAGAGCGGGATAGAAGTCGTTGCCGACTTCTTTGCGCCACCTGTTGATGAATCTCTCGATGATGTGGCGTCTCTGCTCCTGCGGCGAGAGCGAAGTTGCACCGTGAGGGCCCTTCTTGCGAGCCGGGCCAGCCGCGGGCTGCTTCTTGTTCTCATTGAGCGGGTTGAAGAGCTGCAAGAACAGCTCGGAAAAGCGTAGGGTTTTGGAATGATTATGCGGTCTGTTTGGGTACCTGCCAGATTGTCAGCCAGGACATCAATGACGAAAATGAGGGTTTCAATGATTACTTTTCCTCGAGCTCTTCTTTCGTCAAGCCGACTGCGCCATACTGCATTTCCTCCTCACGCTCAGCATCCGCATCTGGCGACTTGGCCCTGTTGAAGCCGCTCATTGTTGGTGCGCTGGCTTTTAGCGATCAGTCACAAAAGAAAAAAAATACCAAGTTCAAGCGGCGTGCTATGTCGGTCCCAGGGATTTTGGTATCATGGCGAACACTGCGCAGCATCTCTCGCGTTGAACAAGGTCAACCTGCTTGTGCTCCGGCGCAGAGTACGTGAGCAGGCAGAAGCTTGGATGTGGGGTGAATGTTGAACCGGCATTGAAGCTAACCGCGCTTGCCAACCTGGAGCCAATGAGCAGCACTGAAATTGAAACTCCCAGGCCGCCACCTCGTCTCAACTTCTTAACACTCACGGCAAGCATTCACGATGCACCGTTCTATGACCCTTGCTGTAGTTTGTTTTCGCTCCTGCGCCCAGGTTTCTTTTCGCTGCTGAATTACATCTAGCCCTATGTGTCTGAAACTCTCAAGGGGCCAGCCGATCGAAAGACACTTTCGCTGGGCGCTGGATCGGGCTGTCCCTTGCCACGACAAACTAGCTCTGTCTCACCTCAACATCGTATCGTGGCGAGACCATCATCACTGACTGCTCTCGTGTCAGCCGCCGGTTCGGTTGCACAATTATCTTCAGCCACCTTGCCCGCCATGCGTTTTCTTACCATGGCCCTGGCGCCATGCGATGTGCACAATGCTGCAAGTGACCACGAAAGCCACATTGTCCAGGACATGAGTACCAATAACACGGTTTCTTGCTGTCGTACCGCATATGAGCTGACCTCTCGTCTCACCAGTTGTGCACGATCGGGGATCGTGCCACCTACCTTGCCCATGTTCTGAGATGGGCTTAACCATTTCTGTGCCATCCTACGCCCCCTCATTCCGTGGGATCAAAATGCGCCAATGTGAAAGCTGTCTGGCGAAATATGGATTTTTCTCCCATGAAATAATCAAATCAAGCTTTTAATTTTGTTCTACAAGAGCTCGACATGTGTTGGCACCAATACCTGGAGAAAGGGTAGGGCAGCCGAAGCCAAGTGTTGGACGATGAGCATTCCTCCCAAGGTTCACCCGAGAGACTGAAGGCTCATTAAGTCTCAATTATTCAGCCACCTCGCATGGATGCTTTGCGTGGGTGCATGATGGAATAGATTCTGAGCTAATCGGCCTTGTCGATGGCACATTTCGCCATGGCATTCAAATGCCCTATTCCAAGCCACTTTACTGCCGTGTACTCCCTCGTCCAACCACGTAATATATAGAAACTCAGTGTGATCCAGGTCTGGCAAGCCCTTTGCAAAAACTCAACAAAACCCAGAATTCACAGACCAAACTTGTAGTTTTCTCTCAGTCACCATGGCTTATGCTTCGACCCATCCCAATGTGCTCAGCGTGATCATCGAGGTCGAGTTCCTCGTGGCTGTCGAAAAAGACGGCTACAAATACAACAATAACACCGCAGCTGCTGGAAACGATACAGAAAGCACCGCCTCGCAAATTCACAAATGGACCTGTCCATCCCAAGCAGACGACCCATCCATGGATGTCCTGCACCAATGCAGGGCCGTCCTGTCCAGAGACAACGCCAACGTCATCATCCGACACAACGAAACGCACCTGACAGAGAGGTCCTGGCAGTCTGCGCGTTTCGATTCCTGGATCCTACAGCCCTGCCACAGCGCATTCGCTTCGTCGGGCAGCCCGGCAAACTACGACTGGAGCGGCGTCAAGCTCCGAAGCCCGCTCATACCCGACACGGAGCTCAACGGCGACCTGTCGCCGGTGCACCGGTGTGTCGAAACCCTCCGCCGCGCCATCTTCATCCGCGTGGATGCATCCTGCAAGCTCAGCGTCTCGCTCCGGCCCAACAACAACTTCACACTGGTCCAGGCCAAGAAGCTCGCGACCTTGGTGTGGCTCACGGAAAGGGACCTGCTCGTTCCGCTGCGGCACCTGAGCCGCGACGCGGCCGTCGTCTGCCCTCGGCCAGTGACGACCGCATCCCTCATGGCGATTTCTCGCCATGGGCAGATGGATGTCGCCGAGCCTCTCGACCCACTGCTGGAGGGAATCATGCATTCCCACCTGCCGACGGGCCTGGGGGACAGCGTCGCCCGAGGCTGCCTGCAGAGACTGTGGGCGTGTTCTGACCTCGCCCATCTCTCGAGCGCGCTTCGCGACCGGCACCACAGCCCCCTGGCTTTCGCCCTGTACGTATACGACGACGACGACGACGCCGAGGACAGCAACACCTCGTGCTGCGCCGTAGCGTCTTTCCGCTGCGCGCCGTGGCATCCCCGCCACGGGCTCGACGTGTCGCCACTCTGGACAGACCTGGTTCTTGCATTTGGAAGGGCCATGAGCCTGGCATCTGAGCGTTTCAAGGGTCTTGTAGCTGAGATTGACGAGACGAACTGCGCGTCTCGCCAGGGTGATGCCGACGGAGCGTGCCACCGGACACGGCTGATGAAGGCGCTGGGCACGGGGGACGCGCGCTGCGCGGAGTGGGAGTGTATCGTGGCGGACTGTAGAAACGGCGCTCCCTGACTGCCACGGGGGCTCGGGTCATGTATATTTGCACAAAGCCTCGTATAACTCTAGCTCTCTATTATTAGCTTAGCTTGCTGTGGCCCTCGGTGCCAAGAATTGCTCTTCACCGGGCAGCCATGCGCGCCGCCTCGAAAAAGATTACCTGCTAGTCCCCATGGTCTCTCTCCCCGAAAAGACTCAGGCCCTCCGCGGCCTCCTCTTCCTCTTGCGAAGGGAGACAATCTGCTTGCGCTGCACCAGCCTCACAAACCAGGCGTATATCATGTCCCGCATGAGAATGATAATGGTTGCACACGCCGTCGGCACGGCACACGCCCAACTGAACTCGATATTAGTACACGTGCTCCAGACCAGAACCAAACGGGGCGGCGAACAAACAAAAGGAAAAAGGAAAAGAGCTTACAAGTACCATATCCCGTTGTGGATCTCCGGGAACCCCTCGAAATTCTGCCCAAAGAAGCCCGTGATAAACGTCAAGGGCAGGAAAATGATTGTCACCATGGTCAGCTGCTGCATGGACGCGCTCTGGTTCGCAGAGATGGTATTGAAGATGAGATTAATCAGGTTCTCGGAGCTCTGCTTCAGCTGGCCCATGGCTTCTGTGATGAGGATGCAGTGGTCCAGCGCGTCGCCCAGGTACGTGTGCGTCATGGGGGTGACGATGACGCCGCTGGCGGGGTTTTCCAGCTCCCGGCTGGCCTGCTCCTGGGTCAAGTGGGTGCGGTGGTCGCGGAGGACGTTGACGAGGTTCTCGATGGGGTTGAGGAAGCGCAGCATCTTGTTGATCTCGCTGATGCAAATGTACAGGCGGCGGCACTGCTTGATGCTCGGCGACGTGAGCACGTCCAGCTCCAGGTCGCCCAGGAGGTCGGTGTAGACGGCGGTCAGGGGGAAGGCGAGGTCGATGATGGCGTCGACGATGGCCTGGACGAGGAGCGAGGCGTCGCACGACTCGCGGAGGCTGGTGCCCGGCGTGGAGAGGCGGGTGACGATGGGCCGCTGCACGTCGTCGGCCGACACCTCGAAGAAGGATATCACCGTGTTGTCGTTGGTGAGGAAGATGGAGACCTGCTCGGCCGAGACGGCCATGCTGTAGGCCGCCAGGGACGAGTTCTGCTCCATGTATTCGGTGCGGGCTTCGTTTCCCGACGCGTGGTACCGCTGGAGCGAGCGTATCATGGACGTTTCCCGCAGTGTTGAGCCGTCGGCCAGGACCGGTCCGCCCTGGGCGTCGCGGATGTGGTGCTCGGGGTCCCTTTCCGCCTGCCTCGCCGCCCGGTGGCCGAGGCTGCTTAGCCACCGCTTGACGGTGGTTTGGGACGGCGTGCTGCTGCTCGAGGTGGATGAGCTGTCGTCGTCGCCAACAAGGTGGACCAGTTTCTGGAGCGTCATGACGATGAAGGCATGGCTGGGGTACCTGGGTCGTTCAGCCAAAGTTAGCAGTGGTGCAATGCATCAACAGGATCTCCCACGGTCTGCCAATGGCAGAGAGAGACTGACCAGTCGGCTTTTGTCCTGTTCCGCAGGTTCATTACATCCTCCAGCGCGAGCTTGTGCAGCCCCTTGTTGGTGCCCACGGCCTGGATCACGTCCCAGCTCAAGCCATTGACATTGATCCAGCGGCACTTGGCCCAGGTCTCCTTTGGCTTCTCCAAGAAGGCGATGAAGGACTCGTTGTTGAAATGCTGCTGGACCATGCGCTCCAGGGCGAAGTCCACAACGGTAATGTCACACTCGGCACTCAGCGCGGTCATGGACGCGTGGCCGCCATCAGGCAGTTCAGGATCGTAGCCCGGCTCGGAACCAGGCTGCCAGCCCGGCAGTGCGCCGTACGTGTCAAAGTCATCGCAATCATCGACGGTTTTGAACGTGTTGGCGCGCGAGCTGCGGCGGCGGACGAGCACGGGTGGCAAGGAATCGCGGTAGATTTCCGTGTCGGAGCGAGCGGATCGCTGGCGAGCTTCGGCGCGTCGGGGAGACAGGTTCTGCGTGTCGACGCCGGCATTGTATGCGGCGCGGGGGTCGGATGAGGTTCGGGGTCGCGGAGAGTCTGGAGAGGGCGTTTGCTCGTCGGCTTGTTTCTCAGAGGCCATGGTGTCGCGACTGCTGCGACGGCGAAGAGTAAAGACGAGGGTCGGAAATGTCACGATGCGCTCCTCGCCAGGCCGATGCGCATCAAGGTGGAGCGGAGTGCGGGTGCTATGATTGTGCGGCAGCGCTGCCACCGCTGCACAAGTCCGGAGCGTGGGACGTCATGGCCACTTGGAAATTTGTGTGCCAGAGAGATGTGAATGACGATCAGCCCTGATCACACATATCCCGAGTAGTCGTGCGTTGCGCGCTGATGACGTCGGGGAAAGCCACCACATTTTGGCATCTGCGCGCCAATAGCAAGTCTGAATGTCAGCCACGTCCCTTTTCCTGCCTTTGACGAGATGAACGGTGCCGGAAAAGAATGGCAAATTCGATAACGCCCCCTCGAGACTCGGGATGGGCAATGTTTGTGTCTGGGCATGAGTGTGCCCGCCCGCAGCACGGCGTGAGAAAGCTGGGCTACGCAGCACTTCAAGGCATCTGAATAACATGTGGTCACGACTAATTCAACGGATCCACGCCCTTGCTATGAAATGCCAAGTTCAAATACGCTGTTTCCAACCTTGTCAAGGCGTCTTGACTCCTTATACAAGAGCCAAAGGTGACAACTCGTGAGCCCGTCTCCACATGAGATTCAACTTCACAAGCCCGACCCGGCGATAGCTTTCCACAACTTCACCCTGCACCATCAGGGGACCGTTTCTGACCAGCAGTAGTCCGGATTGTCGATTGATGGGCAAGCAAAACCAACCTTTCGCCGCCATGTCCCTATCGCTTTCGACATCGAAACTGGAAGACCCCGCGGCATCCAGCCCATCATGTTCCAGTATTTGGCCATTCATGAGGCCATTGTTATTGATTTTGAGTGTCGTCTCAGTATACTGAGGGCCAGCATTGCCCATATGTCCCCCCACCAGATCCTGCGACGAGTAGACATCTGTTGCGCCTATCGCGCCAAAGTTGGGAATGCGGAGGCCGCGTCGGATCTGCGCCAGAGGCTATAACATTTCCCTGCAAGCTCTTGAGCGACGCTCTCTTTTGGACACAGGTTGGACAGGGGCAGGGATCATCGATGGCCTCTAGGAGATGGATTGGATTCTCGGCACAAGATTCGCCTGCGTCACCCGAGACTCTCGGTCCGAGCCTCACTCGTGCAGGGCTTCCATTGACAAGGAGGGACATGGTCCTGACCTGCCCAAACACGTCTGGGCCGACGTATTCTGCCTGCATTGAAACAAGCTCGATAAGCTTCTCCTTCATATCGTCGTATTTCGCCGTGATGCAGCACTTGACCTCCCTCTCGATCGACGCCCAGCTCCAAGACGGAGCACGGTATGTCGCCGGCCTGGTTGCTGTCCTGGACGCCACGGATTGCCACAGGACATCGTTTGTCAGAGTTCGCTTCCACAGCCCCGAGTAGTAGTCGTCCTTGTTCAGGGCCTGAATGGCCCTCGCGCAGCCCGAAATGGCAGGGAGCTTGTCGGCCTCGTACGTCAAGTTCCTCCGGGAGTAGTTCTGCACCATCTTCGCCCACCACGTCGACGCCTCCATCGTGACCCATCGCAGAGCCATTCGCCAACGAAGGTCCTCGCTGCTGTATCCCGGCGCATGTCGCAAGTGGTGAGGGAGCCGGGGCGCCATGACATAATGGCTCGACGTGTCGTGGTGGATGTCGTCTCCTCGCTCAGTGCAGTGTCTCGTGTTGCATCGCCATGCGACCATATCTTGGCCGTAAATGAGCACCCGAGGCGACAGCGCATTTTCCTGAAGGATCCAGGCGCGCCTGTCTCCCCTTTCAGAGTGTATGAAGGGCACGTTGGGCGGCATTTCCGACACAAACACGTCGCTGCCACCCGGTAATGGGCCATCCATGACGTCTTAGGCACTTTCTGGGGGCTTTTGTCATTAGGGCAAAACTCTGCTTCAAGTTGAGCCTGACGCGTCCGGCTCTCGTCTCGCGTGGAAGAAAGCAGCCCTGCTCGCTGCCCGCGGCGCCGGCGGCACTGATTGTTAACAGCGACTTCTTGTAGTATTGATCCATCAGAGCTGCTTCGCGCCGCCAGTCAGCTTGGGCTCGGGCATCCGTGCCCTGCAAGATGCAGAGAGATTCGATCCATAGGTATCGTACTCCCAGCTTGCGCGTGATGAGCACGGCATTTCTAAAGGTTTCCGGCAGCTCGGACTCGGAGATCTGCGCTTTTCTGGCCGCCAAAGTTTCGACGTCTGTGACGAGGGGTCTTGAGGCACCCCAGCAGTGGCTCAAGGTGACGTAGAATCCGCGAAGCTCTCTTTCCGTCTCCAGAAGAAAAGGGATCCTCGATCCATCCGAGGGCCCTACATCGATGACTCGAGTGGGCAGTAGAGGAAGGTCATGGACCGTGTGTGCATCTGCATCCCTGAGCTGGAACAACTGCTGCTGTGTTTCTTTCTGCCCCCTGATTTCCTCATAACTTTGAGAGATGTCCTGACAAAGCCTGGCGTCCTCGGCAAGATTTGGGTGGTTGTATATACAGTCCTTCGTCCATGAAGCTATCTGGCCAAACACGGCATCGGAATCCGCACGAGCATGGACTTCCCGTCCTGCTATTGTGCCCGCAAGCCGAGAATCTTGATGGAAAAAAAAATAAAGCAAGTTAGTCGATGTGTCATATTTTTCGCAGGTTGCGGCGCACATTGATCCCGTCATACACACCCGGGGCGACGAAAAGGTGCATTCGACCATGTCGGTCCTCCAGTACGCCATCATGATCGGTACGCAGCACCGCTTTGATGCCGTCGTTCACATCACCGCCCCAGTGAAGCCACAGGCCCTCGCGACGGCCAACTCTTGCCAGTGAGAGTGCGACGGCAGTGTTTCGAGCCGATCCCAAGGGCTCTGGAGGGCTTCTACTCAGCACGGCCCGTGTCAGCGAGCAAAACTCGCAGCCCTTGGCGGCCGAGTCGTCGAGAGCTGAAGCATTAGGCACGTGGTGGTAGCCTCCGCGATTCAAGCGCGTTATACTGAGGCAGTCGCAGAGATGGCACAGCATTTGGGCCGTTTTGACACCCGAAGGATGTCGGTCCCAAGGATGTCAATGTAAAACAGTCAGTCGAATGTGTTCCCCAGGGAACAAGAATAAAGACAGCTGTGCGGGTGCCTGTATGTACTCAAAGGCTTCCGATGTTGTACCGAGAAACAAGCAAGATGTGTAAACGTAGGAACTTGGACTTGTTGAACGGAGTAGTTTTGAAAAGCCGACAGCGCATATTTATGGCTGAATACACTGGACCAGCCGAGGAGAAAAGCGGGAAAGAATAACAATTGTCCCTGCGGCTGAGGAGCCGTATGGTCAGCTGAGGCTGACTTGCGTCAAATATCACCAGTCTGGCAACCACGCTGCGCCAATGAATTACACATGCTCACAAATAGTCATACTGGGAAATAAATGAGCAGAAGCCTTGGCCCTTGAGGCTCTCCGGCCGTAATCGCAAGCCACTACTACATTTGTAGCGTGGGCTTAGTATCAAGATGAATGGATATCGCAAAGGCTTCTTTATGGGGGTTTTGCCGTGCCAATGCGTCTGTGGGGAATTCTACAAGCAATATTGCCGATTTAAATATGGTTAGTTCCAATATTGGACCTGAATTCTTTGGATGCAATTTTATAACGGGCAGCTGAAGAGCAGCATTATGTCACTAGTGTCAACTGGTCTGACTCGGTGTACGTCAACCTGCAGTTGACAGTGACACTGGAGCTATTGGTATACATGTGTAATGAAATGGGCTGATGGCGAATGTCAAACACGCACGAGATGGGATGAATTCAACATTCAAGTCTGGGGTCCTCCCTAGTAGCCTTACGCGTCGTCAAGTTGTCATCATGGGGGAACCAGGGGCGAGCAATTTTCTCAACAAGCTAGTGGTAACATTCCTTGAATTGAGCCACCGAGTCGGTCCTAAATGCCTTTTCCAAGGATGAAGCCGAGGCCATTCCGTTATGCGACGCTCTACCGAGCAGACGCGAGGCAACCGGGCGTTATTATACCAACTCAGCTCAAAGTAGCTGTGAGAAGAAGCCGCCAGCTAGACAGACAGTCGTTTGAGATTTTTTTTTTTTGATTTTTTTTTTTTTTTTTTATTTTTTTTCTTTTCAAGTGGTGGGGGAACCAGGGGCGAGCAATTTTCTCAACAAGCTAGTGGTAACATTCCTTGAATTGAGCCACCGAGTCGGTCCTAAATGCCTTTTCCAAGGATGAAGCCGAGGCCATTCCGTTATGCGACGCTCTACCGAGCAGACGCGAGGCAACCGGGCGTTATTATACCAACTCAGCTCAAAGTAGCTGTGAGAAGAAGCCGCCAGCTAGAAAGAAAGTCGTTTGAGATTTTTTTTTTTTGATTTTTTTTTTTTTTGATTATACTTTTTCTTGTCAAGTGGAAAGACGGAAAGCTTGGGCTAAACGAGACCATGATATGTCCATGAAATGGAGTGCTGAGACGGAGGGCCTGTGTCAAACACCACGTGTTTTCCCAAGTAGATCACCCGTCAATCAAATATTGTGAACCTGTTCTAGCACAGCACTCGAGGGTTGACCTCTCTTCAACGGTGCGAGTTCGTGCGCGAGGCGCTGGCGCCATCGGTTCTGCCGTTGCCACAATGACCCAGTTGTTCAGAGCTTGGGCTGGCCATGGAAGTTGCGTTGGGACTCTTCGTTCCTTCAACTATGCCACAGACAATACGATTGCCTCTGTTGTACAAGTTATAAGGCTACAATGATCTACGGTGACGAATTGAGTATACTGGCATGTTCTTCGCCTATTTATTCCAAGACACGACTATCACATGAGCTGAATACCACTATTTAAAGGAACAGGTTCTTTTCCACTGAGCCGAAAAGATTTCCCTCGTGAGATAGTTAGGAATGACAGCCCAAAAAAACTACCGCCTACAAGTATCAAATTGTCCGAGACTACAAGACCCGATATCAGCGAGCAAGTTGCCCTAGGGATAGGCAAAGCGGAGAGAGCTGGAGCTTGTAGATTATCCCCTTCAGAGATGCTTCAGGGTCCCTGCCGGGGGCCGCCTGCGGCCGGCTTGGTGGCATCAATAAATTGCGAGGTTCGCGATGCTATACACGTAAATAGAGTAAGCCCTATTTTTCCTATTGACCAGTTACTAATAAGTATTTTTTTTCATAAACCAGTCAAAGGCTAGGGGATACCCGTATATTATATAATATTACATGTAAAGCTGGAAGCTGCACTCAGCTTATTGCTTGCCCAACGTGCCCAATTTTTCGTCCCGCTTTGCTTAATTTCTTTCACTTATAGTTTCGATTCCACCAACAAGTTTCACCATTCATATTGTATTGGGATCCCAGCAAAGTGCAACATACCTTTTAGAGCAAGTGTATAAAAGCGCCTTCTTTTTCTTTCGCCCCGGCTTAGTGGAAGGCGCCCGCCGGCCTCGCGCATCACCAAACACCACAGCAGCAACATCGTGAGGTACGTACCAGCTCTAGTTTTCCGGCCGACTATTTGAATTTGAGGCCCTCGAGACTACTTGTCGGACGGCTCTACACGGCCGGTGGATTGTAACTGCGGTGGCGTAGCAGGTTGACCACTCCATACAGAAGCAGAACCGTAAGGCGCCATCTCAGCACGTCACAAATAGAACGACCTCTGATTGCGAAGCAAACCATTCCACCTATCTGCTGTTGTGGCTAAGCGGTCATGGTGGCTCACTAACTCTGCTCAAACGGGGGAACAGCCTTTAGTTACGTCATTGAGTCGTGTGCATTTTGAAGGTCGCGGGCAACTTTAGCTCAAGTTTCTGCAAATCAAGACTCTCCTAACACTTGACTACAGACAACTTTGTGTTAACTATCTGCTGCTCTGCTTAGTAGGCTCCTAAAATAGCAGTAAATCCAGATATTCTTAGACAGCAAGACGGATGGAATTGCGCGGCTAATGCTATCTTCTAGACAGCCTCGTCTTCAGGGGACCCGTATAACTCAATCAACAATTAGTAGAAAACTCTACTTGCAGGACTGTCGACCCAACACGGTGCTCTTTAGTCGTTGTCATGGCCGACTTGGCGCCTTCACCGTGTCTGTATAGTTTGGCATGTTCTGCCACTACCAAACCATGTATCATGGCGGTTACTGGATTTGACCGTGGAGCCAGGGGCAGAAGGATCCAGCAACAGCAGCCCTTGGCCGAGTATCCCCGAGACCCAGCGTGTGACCTTTTGGCCCTCTCTCTCTGTGTATGTGTGGCGCTAACATCATTACTATAAGCAATTGTAGCTTGAACTGTAACATAGATAGTTTTTGAACTCGTTCAATGACGAAAAATTTATCCTGTTCCTCAAATACACGCCTTTTAATCTTGTATATGGGCCACGGGGGCCATTTTGCAAGACAGAGTTCGTCAATAGTGCCAAAGTGCCCCCAGCCGTCCAACTGTAATTCCAACTGTTTCGTCTGGCTCTTTAGTTTAAGAATCACCACAACGTGTTGCATCATAACCCCAAGCCCTCTTGTCGTCCGTTCCTCTGGCACTTTTTTATTTTTGATGTTTGCAAAATATGCCGTTCAACAGATGGAGTGTCGCCCGCAGAACAGTTCCTGCTTCCGTAGACCTTTCTGCTTTACCGCATCCTACTAAGGTGCTATATTCTAGTGTATTCAACTCGACCATCAATCATCTTCTTCCTACAGGGGCGTTATGTGTTACCATGCTTGTTGGGTTTCAGCGTTGAGTCTGGAGCAACACGCCGCCACAGGTAGACCGTCGCAGTAGAGCTATTGTTGGAATGCAAAACCGCATAGACGAAGTGATGACACGCCGACTCTAAAACGAAGAGAGCCAAGTAACGTGATTTCAGACTTTGTGTCTCGACGTCACATTTTCTCAAAGTGAGTCCTACAGCATCTTTTTGTGGAGCCATGTTCGTGCTTCTCCGAGCCATAACCACCCTCGGTTGCTGGGGGCTATCACAGAAGGTCAGATTCCATGCTTCTACACACTAGAGCACACTAGATGACTATTTAATATGGCAAATTGATGAGTTTTGATTCAAAAGAGACACAGAGTTTAAATTCGCTTAAGCATTCAGATACTCAAATCAGCGTCGTTTAAAGATTTCGACGCCGAGGCTAGTATCTTTGCAAAAGACAATTTTAGCTGCTTAGCGAACTGGTCGACTACTGCGTTTCCGTGCCACGGTACAAGAAAATAGGCTGCCAATGTCCATTGTAGCAAATATCAATTGATCCCGCGCTGGCAGGTATCTGCACTGCAAGTGTGGGCTACCCTACATGAGTCGAGGACTGCGCTTCACAACAAACACATCATCTCACCGAAGGGACTGCGAGCCCTAACTGGCATGCTGGAACCTCAACTAGCCAGACTTTGTGATTCGTTTTCTCTCTAATTTTATTGCTTTGATGCATCCCAGGTCCTACGGTCTCTAGCTAGCTGAAGTCTAACAAGTAAATTTGTGTTGTGTTTTGCAAAGGCCAAACATCACCGGGCAGCCAATAATGTCTTCGACTTATTCCTCCATGTCCCATTCTATAATTCCTCCCCCTTACGGTATTATTTCAAAGCACTCCATACGCTCAAGATAGATTTCGGGAACGCCGGGGAATCGAGTCACGAAGCACAAGCTCCGGCTCAGTGGCGCCGAAACCGCATGAAATGGAGCCACTACGTTTTTGATAAATTAATTAGCAGTCTCTTCGCGCATCGTCCGTTGTACAGTAATTACCGGTGCGGCGGTCGGAATACTCACGTCAATGCGGAGCCATCGTCAGGAGTCGGGATACGCACTCGGATTCTCCCTACCTCAAATTAAACCCTATTTACGCCGCAATCTACTCCTTGGTTCAGACAGGAGCGACTACAGTGTTCCTTGGTCTTTTGAGGCCCAATGGACTGATTCGTGCTTAGTGTCATTCTTGGCAAGGGCAAGATGGGAAAATACAGCCCCGTTGAAATACCTGCGTCTGGCCGTCTTGAACTGATGCTTATACTACGGAAAATCTGGCCCGACTAAGCGGCTCAAGGTAGCAAAGGCCAAGTCTATGCATGTTCCGTACGACAAAAACAGGACGGGACTTCTACCGATCATCCAGCACTGAACGTCCTCTTTCCCTTCCAAAAATATCATTTTCCTATAGTTTGTTCCTACGCGGTCAGCGGTGATGCCGAGATTCGTTCAAGAAATCGACACAGGGCCACAACCGATGATGGATTTGCTACAAAGGGGCAACTGATTCAAGATGATCCGAGTTGGTGGGATTTTTGATGGACAGGTGGAGTTGACCTGGCAAGGGCAGTGGCTTGGCGAGGACGGGAGGATCGTGCACCTGGTCTGGCTACTAGTGTATCAAAAGTTTGCCATAGGTGGTGGCGTTGTTATAGCCTGATTAGTATATTTTCGCAGACAACTACCTATAGTTAGGTACCCAGTGTTCAAGTTCCCCAGACCTACCTGCATGACATGCTGCTGACATGCCTGGTAATTCAATTAGCAAGTATACGAAGGAAATATTCAGGCACCGTACGTACGGCGATGTACATGGCGCCGTCGCCATCTGATATCTGTGGATTTGAAATGGCCTTCTGTACAATTCAGACCCTGAATGTTTAGCCAGGCGTGACATAGCAAGGGGGTTAAAGCTAATAAGATATGATTATTACAGAGAGCGTGTAAGGGTTAAAGTACCTAATAACGCGATAAAAATTTTTATTAATAAAGGTCACTATAATAAGAGCTATTACTCCCTTATCATTTGACCTATACTATAATTAATAGCCCGTAATATAAATAAAAAGAGCTCCTATTGACAGAAAAGTTCCTGTAAATAACCCCCATTAAACTTCCCTGTCAGGTCACTCATGGCTAAACTCACAAGGGTTGGATTGTATAGCCGTACGCAAAGTTTAGAGCACCGTATACGATACAAAGATGCCTCATTCCGGTGTTCTACATTGTAATAGTTGCAGGGCACCCTGGATTGAGGGCTCCCAAAATCGTTGGTGGGCTTTGGATCGTGGAGGCTAACTGTAGTACGTGACACTTATACTGAGTAGTTGCTGAGTACTCCGTTGAAAAATAGACCAGAGCAAGCATCATTTGCAAGGCAGCTCGGATGCCGGATTCTTTATCACGCCGATCGGGTCGCATGGCCAGAGCCAATGAAGAATCCGGCGGAAGCGGCAGCGAAGACACAAGGGTTCATACCATGCGTGTTGTCAGTATAATAAAGAAAGCAACTAATAGCTGACAACCCATCTGGGAAATGGGTCAACAACTGGTGCATAGAATTATGGGCCTCATTTCCAGCTAGACCCATCCCAGGGAGCTGACATCTTCACTCCCGACAAACATGTGTGACCGAATGGGGAAGGATGGTAGTATTCACCTCTCGCTAACCGCAGACTTGGGCCGGAATCTCGGCGACACAGAGTTGATGATGTGGCGTATGGAACCGGGTCGCGTAGGGGGAGGAGGACGTGAAGAAACAAAATATAAAGGGGGGGGTCAAGCGACGCCAAGACCGAATTCCTTTCAACTGAGCATATGTAATACATGGGACTTTACTATTTCCAGACTTGTTTCTCATCCTGCATTACCCATGGCCAACATGGGACCTTTGTGGATAAGGGACGCAACTCGTCCGTAGGGAATGGTTCATTGAACATGATGAGCTCCATGATGAATGATGGACTGCCATGTAAGCAGTAGTGCTGGAGAGTTCCCCTGCCGAGAGTAGTATCAAGGTGTACTGTTTAGCAATGTGCGTAACACTTGATGCTTACCGTGGGCATCGAGGGATCAAGTTACAGTAGATCGAAGGGAGCGTGGGTAAGCCAAGACAGAGAAAGAGGAAGCGAATAAACGGCTTGCCCTGTCTAAGGGCGGAAGTAGGTACACATGATGTTTCTCTGCACTCTATTGTCCGTATTCTGCACTTTGCTGCGTCTGCTGACATTCTGCCGAAATGAAACTTGGTCGCATTGCGGCGGCGGAGTACTTTTCGACCTCTTGCTCTTTAGAATCGCCCCGTTTGATAAGATTTCCGGCTTGGGCTTGATTTTGAATGAGAATGTGGAATGCACCATGATGGTGTCGGGCTCAGGGGTATCATGATGGATGGCGTTGCCAGCACTCCGCACTACCGAGCATGGACTCCCGAGGTCCATTGGCGCCGGCGCCGATTGTTGCAGCCACCCACCAGCCACGCCATTGATTCGAAGGCCTCTCGGATCATTCCTGTGGTGGCACGACATGGTGGGCGTGATAAATCAGAAAGAGGTCGCGTGATGCCACGGTGAGAGTCGAAACCGCAGACAACGAAAAGCTGAGCCGGAATGAAGAAGGGGTGGAGAGTTGTGAAATATACCATTAACTGTCTGGCAGTCTTTTTTTTCCCTCGATGCTGTCGTGACGTCGCAAGGTATTGTACTTGGCGCTGTGGAACTCGAGATGGAGCGAGTCGCGTGTCGAATGCCCACAACCGGGCAAGCGCGGAAAATCCAAACGTCAACTGGTCACTGGTGCATTCGTGGCGGCATGCGGCTCCTGGTCCACCACGGGCGCGCTTGCGTCGCCGCATGGGGACCCTTTTGGTCCGTCGTCTTGGAAAGCCCCTATTTTCATCATTTGCATTTGCTAGTACATCCTTCTTTGAATACCGAGCCTGGAAGATGTACCCTGTATGTATGCATTTTCGGGATTCCCGTGCTGAACCATCTGGCATTTCTGTGACAGATGCCCCTTGACCCACCGCGTCGCATCTTTCATCAAGACAAAAAAAAGGGCATCTCAGACATACATCGCGGCTATCGCTGTCCATGCACATTGCGATTGACTGCCTGCACCTCCAATTTCACGATGCAAGCTGTGGGGACGAGAGCCTGTTGGTTGGCAGCCCTATGAGTTGGTCTCCTCATGTCTCGTACTCGGTGCTCCATACGGAGGAACCTCGAATGGAGACGTCGTATCCCTCTAGATGTTCGCAGATGTTGGTTGTTGCATACGGAGTAACAGCTCCGCTCCGTCCATGATACTTGAACAAGTAGTTACCTCTTGATTCATAAAGTCAAGTGCCAAAATTCTTTACCTATACAAAGCTACAAGTAGTGTACTATCTCTCTTGTATGAAGTGCTTTTACTACTAGCCTTATAATTTTGAAGTAAATTATACATCTTTGTCCTTGAGATTCTTTACTCATCAATATCTGTCAAGGATGAGCCTCACCGGGGCTGTCGCGAGTTTTGGCGCAGTTCCGACCCTTGGCCCAATATTTCGTACAGTAGAGGCAAAAGAGACGAGTCGCTGACAACTTGGTTCGGTTGACTGGTACAGTAAACCAGGTCTATAACGATATCCTTCGTGAGGCTTTTTTCATCGTTATAAGGCGACTATCGTTAAGGTGCGACTATTATGGGGCTTGTACCTTTAACCAAATTTACTAGGTAAATATATGTAATAATATTATAAGGTACATATACAGAGATCGTGTTTTTTTTTGCCGCGTCACGAGCTTCCTGCCAACCGTGCTAAAGCCGCTGTTGAAGCTGTTGAAGCTGTTGAAGCTGTTGAAGCTGTTGAAGCTGTTGAAGCTGTTGAAGCTGTTGAAGCTGTTGAAGCTGTTGAAGCTGTTGAAGCTGTTGAAGCTGTTGAAGCTGTTGAAGCTGTTGAAGCTGTTGAAGCTGTTGAAGCTGTTGAAGCTGTTGAAGCTGTTGAAGCTGTTGAAGCTGTTGAAAAGCTGCTGTTGAAGCTGCTGTTGAAGCTTATCGCGGCCCTCGTCAACGCGCCCGTCAACACGCCCGTCAACGCGGGCAAACAAGGGCTCAATTTAATACGTATCGCGTGCCACAGCTAAAAGAGCCTCGCGGCGGTCATCCCAATCCTTGAGCTGGCGTTTACAGCTTTAATTATTGCTGAGCAGCTTTAATTTTCCCTGCCAATTGGTGCGTGCATGTGGTGTTGAAGGAAGAAAAACGCGTTGAAGGCTGCGAAATTCAGCCCTTACAGTGGAGGCCTAAAAACGATAAAAACACTAAAATGTATGGTGACTAAGCCTGAGGCTAACGATATCGCAAGTAACCCGACTATTAACGATTTACTAGGGAAAAACCTTAAATGACCGTGAATTATCGTAAAAACCCGAATATCGCTAAGATACAGGATCGTTATAGACATGGTTTACTGTAGTAGCTGTAGGGCAATGCACGAATCGATGGCCGAGGGTTGCAGCAGTAACTACATTATTCGACGACAGTCGTCTTGCACATCTCGGCCCCGACCCTTTTGCCACATCTCTTGGCTTGGCAGGGCACAGTGTGCCGGAGACTGTGCGGGACGAGCCACAGACCAGCCCCATTGCTGACTCCGTATTCAAGGTTATTCGCACAAAGGCCTGGCCATAATTTGAGAGGGGTCGAGTCGATTCCGGCAACACCACCTCAACGCCGATGCGCCATTCCAGCGCGCTTCTCAAGGGCAGGCACGACTCGCCTTCTCCGGCAGCTCAAACCTCGAAACGCCATCTTGTTTGCCCATCCTCTGTGCTCCGTACTCGGTACGTACTCGAAACAAAAAGAAAAGACGGCCTGTCACGCCCGCCCTGGTTCCATCGTCGGAACTCTTTGTTCCCCACTCCCCCCTTTCATGGTGATGATCCGCCAAGCTGCCAAGCTATCAAGCCCCTCAGAATCTCGTCTCTAACCGTTTCTCCGGTCATGTCGTTGGATGCCTCGGGGCTCTGCTCCGTACGCTATCCAGGATTCTCGGAGGACATCCGATGAAGCCGAGCCATCTAGCCAGCTAGTGTTCTCACGCGACACGGTGTGCGCATACTTTTGGAGCGGGTCCCTGGATGGTGGCTGTTGAATGTTGCCTTGGCTTTAGCCTGGCTCCTCTCGCTTTCATCTTGTCAGCCGCCTCCCGCACCTCCATGTTTGTATGTTGCCATGTGAACATGCCATCATGGTATTGAGTGGCTAGCCCATCCGCCTCATGGGCCAGGCAAGGCGGGCGTGATGTGCAGCTGTAAAACACCAAAACATACTCATCGAGGTGCAGGACAGTTGAGGATGCCTGGGGGAAACACACGAGGAAGCTGGCTGCCAGAAGTAAAGATTCCAGATGTCGGTCAAGCCGGTGTAGTCATGTACGCAGGATTCGATTCATTCTTATTGCCCCAGCCCGTTCCCCGCAAGCCAGGGTGTGTGATCAGGAAAATGCTAGGTTCCTTTGGACGGCCGACAGGGCGTGGATGGAGCAGAAGTCGAAGTGAGTTGTGGAAATGGAAGCTTGCTTCCTTTCATTCCTCAAGTAAGTAGATGCACGATGCTGCTGCACTCCGCACGTTGACGCTTTCCAGTCTCGTCTCGTGCCAGCCCTTGCTTGGCTCTCGACTCCTTCTCGAGCACACACACCCATCGTCGCCTCTTTTTTTTTTTTTTTTTGTCACCTCCTTCCTTTTTACTCTTCTCCTCCCTCTCCCCATTACGCCACCTCTTCTTCGTACTCATTTTGTCGCGCCTCACCTTGGTCGCGCATTTTCCCTTCTCTTTGGAGTTCGCCCTTTGCCCATCGTACTCGTGCCAGTCCTTGTCACCTCTGCTGGCTAGCTCTGCATGTATTCTCTCTTTGTTTCTCTATACTTTCGTTTTTCCTGCAGTGGCAAGCTACACGCGCTGGGAGAGCAATCGAGGCCGCTTCAACAGCGGAGTTGCGCCGAATCAACGGACTGGCATCGACCACACTCCTTGTCCATCACTTCGACGCCCCATCTTTCCGCATTTTCCGAGTATGAGATATCGAGCCAACTCTAGATCCGCCGCCTCGCCGTTATGATCGACTTACCTCGCCGCACGGCAGGCTCTCTCGCCTCTTGCTTGAACAGCCGACGTTGTGTCTTGACCAATAGACGGCTCTGCCTGGCCTTTGCCTCCCGTTTTGCCAACCGACGACTTGTTTTCTCTATTGCTGCCGTTTCTATTCTCGGTGCCAAATGGGTCCATATATATGCACACATTACGGCCCTTCCAACGGCCGAAATGGCTCGATGGGGACTGTCGTTCTTTGCGCAGGACACGGCTTTGTTACTGATGCTGCGCCTGCTGCTGGATGCTGAGCTGCCTCTATTTGCCGCAGTTGGGTGCTTGCGTTTCTTGGCTACTAGTCTGGCCTGCGTCATTACGTTTGTCCAGCATGTCCTCGCCTCAATCAACATCTCGTTCTTTGTCGTGGCGGGATCCGAGCTTCACTGGCGTAACATCGGCCTGGCGGGGGACTCATCGTCCTGGTCCGTGCTTCTGACTGGGCTCGTGTCGTGCTCCATTGCTTTTGTCGCCATCCTCATAGTTGGCTGGCTTCTTCAGGACTTTTGCTTTGCCTTTGCCGGCATGGCTCTCGATATCGTCAAGCTGCCTCTTACTTTCTTGTTCAGCAAGATCCCCTACTGCAGTCGCCGCTCGACCACGACCGTCAAGTATGACTACGTACCGCAAAAGGAGATTGATATTGAAGATGGATCGGACGGTGATGACGAGTTCACTTCGGTCGGGAAACGCAAGAACCTCGGTCCCGCAACCCTGCCAGAGAACAAGATCATGTGGCTGCTCTACACTGTGATTGGCATTCTTTTGGTCACACAGGCCGTCTTGGCCATCGTTCGTCCTGTTGAAAGTTCACTCATCTTCATGTCCTGGACGCCGATTTTGCTGCCCTTTATCGACTTTGCTCATTCTTCGCCGACTCTGGCCGGTCTGCTTCCCTACTACAGTCAGAGTATTGGTTGGGGTTGGGATAATGAGACAGCCCTGGCCGAGCCGATTCGCTGGAACTGGCTGCCCGAATCGGAAACCCCGCTCCCCGGATTTGAGGACTGGTATGAAGCTGAGATGGACCATTACAACGCTGCTCATGACCCCCTCAAGATTTCTAATTTGGAGGATGACTTGCTCGCACCTCTGCGAGGCAAGTTGGGTGACGTCGATATTCGGCACGTGGTACTAATCAAGCTAGAGAGCACCCGCAAGGATGTATTCCCCATCAAGAAAGATGGTCAGATTTGGCAAAAGTTTGCCGAGACTTGGGAGAATGGTACTTTACCTGACGAAGTGCAAGAGCGGCTTTCAACTCTCACTCAGAATGCAAATTTTCTGACCGGCGATTATAACGATGGGTTCGAACATGAGACTGCTAAGCGACGCGGCGGTCTGAACGTGAACAATGATCATACAACCGGCACCTACACCCTCAAAAGTCTTCCTGGAACCCTCTGTGGAATCACACCTCTGGTTGCCGACTTTAACGTAGAGTATGCCAACCACATTTATCAGCCTTGTCTGCCGCATATTTTCAACGCATTCAACGCCCTTGACCACTCCAACGACTCTGCGAAGCACACCGCCGAGTACACGAAATACAAGTGGAGCAATTCTTTCATGATGTCGGTTACGAATTTCTACGACAAGCAGGATCTTTTAATGCCCAAGATGGGATACAAGGAGGAGGAGCTTATCCACAAGGAGTATCTGCAGAGCGATGAGGCCAAGTTTGGTAAAAATACTATGCCTGAGATAAACTACTACGGCATGGCAGAGTCTGCCGTTGAGGAATATATTCGAGATGCGTTCAAGACGGCCAACGAGAAGAACGAGCGACTGTTCCTCTCTCACCTGACAAGTACCGCCCACCACCCGTTCAAAATGCCCGACGAAGAAACATATGTGCCCCTTGCGCCCGAAGGCAAGCTCGAAGACCTTTCGCACTATGTCAACACTATTGGACTCGTTGATCGATGGCTGGGAAAGATTTTGCAAATCATCGAGGAGGAGGGGTCTACTAACAACACGCTGGTGGTCATGGTGGGTGACCACGGCCTGTCGGTTCCCGAAACGGGCGCGGTTACGCCTTATTATCAGCCCAATGTCGGCAACTTTCATGTCCCCTTGGTCATGTCACATCCAAAGCTTCCTCCCATCGACATCAACACTCCGGTAAACTCGATTTCTATTCTGCCGACAATTTTGGACCTGCTCATCGAGACGGGCTCTCTGTCTCAGTCTGAACGCCAAGCCGCGTCTGATCTGGTGCGCAACTACGAAGGCCAGTCACTGATCCGACCTCTCCAGACGTCGTCGAAACATACTGGCCAGGCCGACTGGCAATTCACGATTATGAACACTGGGCGAGCCCAGGTTGCTACCCGTAGCGCACGAGAACCCAACTGGCGGCTGGTGGTGCCTGTGATCAAGGACATTGAGTGGAGATTTACGAATCTCGAAAAGGATCCACACGAAAAGGATGGAGTTCTTTCATTTGACTTTGTCACCTTCCTACACAGCGTAGAGAAGAAGTACGGATCGGATGCAGCCAAATGGGCTGAGGAGGCGTCGTTTATGACGAGGTGGTGGGTTGATGAAAATGCAAGGCGATGGCGTTATACCCCCTGATTATTCTGAAGCGACCTGGACATGCATAGCAAGTCTTTTTTTCTTTGTCTTGTCATGTCACACAATCACCACTATATTAATTATATTCCTTCCAACGTTCGCGAGAGGGTCATTAGCATCAGAGGGCGGCTGCAATGGATTCTTGGCTACTATTACGTTGCATCTACTGGTTCATTGTCTTTTGTTCTTTTTTCTTGTCACAATATCGTGGCCTTGTCCACCCCCCCATGACGGCTCTATTTGCTACTACATTTTTTTGTCATTATTCGGGATCACGGGAAACTAGGGGCATCTGGGGTTTTGATGCAATTTCTTGTACGATAGCGAGTACTACGGAGTATGGTCAATTCATACCAGAGATGTGCATATATCTCTTAGATTCATTCTGTGGGGGCTTTGGTTTCTTCGCCTATCGTATCATTGATCTGTTAAGGGCCGAAAATGGCAACTGTGACGTGTGGTTCAGTTAGAGTTTGGGGCTCGGCTCCTGATGGATGCTAAGTTGAGTTACACGGTACCAGACCAGACCGCATCTGGGGTAACAAAGTCAGATGCAAAAAAGTCAATCCGCATGCAGATTTGCCCTAGGCGCACCCGCGGGGCACGGGGCACGGAGCACATGAAACGTGCTTTACGGTGTCGTGCGTGGTGCATGCTTTGCTTCGGGTCGATGCGGTGGATAATGCTCTGCTCGCCAGGAGGATCGACGGCGCATTGCGGGCGATTCGATGTCGTGTTGGCGAGTCAGTGTCTCTGAGCGCGTGCCAGGCGGTTCGGAGTTTTTTGCAACGGGCAGGCATATTGTGGGGCACAGTGTGTGACTGGACACTTGAATCCCCCCCCCTTTTTCCCTGGTTAGGTCTGATTCTGTCAATAGGTTAAGCTTGTTGGGGGGTTGGTTTAGCGAGGGAGCGTCGATCACGGCTGGGCTAGCGAATGGTGGGTATTGTTTGGAGCCGATTTGGGAGGACAATAGAGCGCGGGCTATTGTTGAGGAGAGTCTGACAAGGTGGCCATGTGCGACTGATGCTGGCCTGGAAGGACTGAGAAGCAACAATGGACTGTCTCGGGGGAGAAGAGTTGAATTTTTTTTTTCCCCCCAACTAGAGCATCGCTTGATATGTTCTGGTTTAGCGCAGCGGCGAGGCTGATGGCTCGAGAGGCGCGATGAACCTGCTGGGCCTTGACTATGCGCCAATTCTCAATTCTCCCATCATATTTAGTAGGGTTAGGGTTATTCCCACCAGACTAAGTCGAGCTTCGGGTTCGCATGTCAGAGCGCGACACTGAAGATCTGTGGGACCCCGGTTTTGCTCATATTCAATGAGTCTCAAGCTGATAAAGGGAAGGGCTCCCAATGGGGGGGAAGCTGTGCCGGGAATTCTGGCGTCTGCGTTTTCGAAGCCTCGCTCCTGTAACTCTGCGGACATTACTCCCACAAGCGCCCTTTCCGCCGCCAGCCCCCTCTATAGCCGCACAGTCTGTCATGGTTTGACGTCGGGAAGATTGGGTTGTGTCTCATTAAATGTTCCCTTGGACTCTCTTGGGTTTGTTGCAGTCGGTGTTGGGGGTGACTTGGATCGCGTCATGGCTGCAGTTCTCGTACGCCTGCTAGCAATGGCTAGGACTGGGCAATATTAAGCCCTGTATCGACAAGGTCGCACTGCTGTATGACATCTTCGCATATTCTAGTCACCCAAAAGAAGGAGTTTCGTGCAAGATGCGAAATGGCCCTTACTTGGCAATCACTCCAAGGCCTCTATGGCCACCAGACGTCCTTACACTGTAGTTGCAGAGTTACGAGCTGCGAGTTCAAGCAGGATTTCGACATGAGCAGTCTGGTATGTATCTTTTCTTCGGATACTCCCAGCTCTCGGACGAGGCACAACGTGCAACTTGTGCGCCGCGTGTATCTTGTTTAACATATGATGCCTCACGACCCACATTCATCCATGTTGAGTGTTTCCCATTGCTGATTCGATCCATCTTGAGAGGGATTGGCATTGGGAAAGCAACGACCTGCAGTCGATTGGACGAATCCGTCTCGATGAGCATGCGAGAGAAACCGCTGATTTACCATTGTGATTACAGAACTCGAGACGAGGTTCGATGAAGTCGACACGCAGTTCTGCCCCCGGCACCAAGCCACGGCGTAGGGCTTCAACCAGTAGAATTCAAGGCCTGGCTTTCCATCATCACCACGCCCATGTTCACCAATATTCAAGCTCAAAGAGCGCCTCCTTCCGGAGGTCACGGAAGCGATATGCCACCAGCCCCGCGAACCGTACTTGAAATCGCAACTCGGAAACAATGGCCATTTCTCATCCCTCACCAAGCCTCGCTTGGCTCCTAGAAAGAGACGCAGTCTGCCTCTCATAATGGGCGGGGAGAAAACGCGGCCCGGACGGACCTTTCCTCTGTCTATTGTCCACAAGTACTACCCTCGCGCCTGGGACTGCCGACTGCCGTTCTTGCACCCAGTCCTCAAGGCCACCCGTCCCAAGCTCACCAAAGCAGGCATAATCAGCGCGCTTCTCGTCCAGGTGGTATTCTTCGCCCTGTTCTGCTACCTCTTCGGCGCGCTGTACCAGCAAGGGCCGCGCACCCACAACCTCAGCGTGCTGTGGGTAGACTACGACGGCGGCATCATCGGCCAGGCCGTCAACGCGGCCTACGCGCGGCTGAGATCCGACCAGTTTCCCACTCTTGTTGCGCGGTCCGCCTCGCAGTACCCCTCGGCCGACGCCCTGCGCGGAGCCGTGTGCGACTCGGACTACTGGGCGGCGATGTACACGGCGGCAGGGTCGTCTGCCAACCTCGGCCTCGCCATCGCCGGGCTCAACACGTCGCAGTACAACGAGTCGGACGTGCTCTTCTACATCTGGAACGAGGCCAAATACCCGGCCGTGATGGACGGCGCCTTGTCCAGCAACATGGTGGCCCTGTCCAGCGCCGCCCGCATCTCCTACGTGGCCCTCAACGGCACGGCCGCGCTGGCAACCATGCCGCCGGACAACCCGGCTGCACTGTCCGTGTTTGCGAACCCGTGGACCGTCACGTCCATCAATCTCAAGACGACGACGCAGGGCGCCCGCGCCGTGTACAACACCATTGCCATTGTCCTCATTCTCCTGCAGAACTTCTTCTTCCTCGCCACCATCAACGGGCTGTACGTGCAGTTCAAAATCTACAACCGCGCACCGCCCAGGTTCATCATCCTCATCCGCGCCATCATATCCTGCGGGTACACGTTTTTCGGGGGCCTGCTCATCACCGCGGCCATCTGGGCCTTCAAGGCAGGCTGGAACGTCTCGGGGGCCGCGTTCGTCCTGGACTGGATGACGTTTTGGCTGCTTAGCCACGTCAGCTTCCTCGTGCTCGACGTCTTTTCGATATGGATCCCGCCGCAGTACGTGCCGTTTGCGCTCGTCACCTGGGTCATCACCAACGTCACCTCTGTCATTGTGCCGTTCAGCCTGTCCAGCGGCTTCTATCGCTGGGGGTACGCGCTGCCGGCGCACGCGGCGTACGAGGTCCTCACGGATATATGGTCGGGCGGCTGCAACCCGCACCTGTACTATGCCCTGCCCGTCTTGTTCTCGTACGAGGTGCTCGGGAACCTGGGGACCAGTCTGGGTGTATACAAGCGCCGCCACCTGGCGGTTGTGGCGGAGGAGGCCACCAAGCAGGCGGCGATGCTGCTGGAGCAGACGCGAGAGAGGAGGCAATCGAGGGCGAATGGAGAACCCCTCATTGCGGGGGGAAGCGGCCAGGTGGCCGGCACGAGGACGGAGGATGCTGAGGAGTCGGAGCGCGAGCAGAGGGAGGAGTTGGAAGAGGAGGACGAACAGGCTGCGGAGGACATTCAGAGGCTGGAAACGCAGGCAACGAGGATATATTCCAACTTGGGGCCCGCTTTTCAGCTGGTTGGTTCTGACGAGAGGTAGGGTCAGGGTCAGGGTTAGTGTCGGACCCCTCTTGTTCCTTGGTAGTACGGAGTACCTAGGTACCTAGGTTATGACTCAGTCTAACTTATTTCTGCCGCCCCCAACAGACCGGAGTTTGGTGGTCAGCAATGGGCAACATTTCGAACCTTGATGTTGTACGGGGACCATAATCGTGGTTGTACAGAGTCCATTGACTTATTCCATTGCTTCTTTGGCCCGGCTCAATTGATGGCTAACATCCACTCGTTCGCTACCCCGCGGCGATATCGGCGCACGAATGCGTAAAATGGAGCCATCAACCCAAGTTACTCCGTACCGCTTGGCTTACGCCATTTTTCATCCGTCATCCCACGCTGCCATTGCGAACCGCCGCCAATTGATCCGCTCCGGAACTTTGGTCGCACCGACATCTGGAAAACTCGACTTGTTGAAGCGCCTCAAAATTTTCCATTCCACGCATCTGCACACTCCTGCATTGCAGCTTGGCCCATGAAGTCCATGCGATCCGGCAAACAGTAGGAGACTGCACTGCTCCCGCAAGCACCGTCCAGGCACTCTGTTGGCACTCTGGCCACTCCAGCCTCAGAGGCCAGACCAGACCATCTCGAAACCGCGCAACCCGCCCGTCCTTCCCACAATGCCCCAATCGGAACCCACCGACGGCCGAGACACGCCCGTCTCGTCTGCATCGGCAGGCGGAGGAGGAAAGAGACGCAAAAGCAAGAACGGCGATGGCAGCACCAGCAGCAGCAACAGCAGCAAGAAGCGCGAAAGAGGTGACAAGGACGACGGGGGCGTCACCAAGCTGGCAAACGGCCCTCACGGCGACGGCCTGCGCCGCTCCAGCATCAGCAAACCAGGCCGCGACCGCCGCGACGAACCTGAGCCCAGGACCAAGCGCCAGAAGAGGGAGAAGCGCGACAAGAGCGAGAAGCGGCGCCAGACGGCGGCCGACGACGACGAAGCCAACAGCAGCAGCGGCAAGCGGGACGCCTCGCGGTCGCGATCTCTGGCGCGACTGGAGAGCCCCGTCATCGACTTTGACGGGCTCAGCCGTCCCAGCGTGGGCGCCCGCGACCGGCTGGAAGAAGGCCCCGAGGCGGCGGCGGCGCGGCTCGACCGCATCAAGGGAGCCGTCCGCACCATCCTCGAGTGCGTGGGCGAGAACGCGGACCGCGAGGGCCTCCTGGCGACGCCGGAGCGCTACGCCAAGGCCATGCTGTACTTTACGCGCGGCTACGAGCAAAACGTGCTCGACATTGTCAACGGCGCCATCTTCCAGGAGGGCCACTCCGAGATGGTCATTGTCAAGGACGTTGACGTCTACTCGGTCTGCGAGCACCACCTGGTGCCCTTCACCGGCAAGATGCACATCGGCTACATCCCCAACAACGCCGTCATCGGCATCTCCAAGCTGCCCCGCATCGCCGAGATGTTTGCGCGCCGCCTGCAGATCCAGGAGCGCCTCACCAAGGAGGTCGCCAACGCTATCTTCGAGGTCCTGCGGCCCCAGGGCGTCGCCGTCGTCATGGAGTCGAGCCACCTGTGCATGGTGATGCGCGGCGTGCAAAAGACGAGCAGCACCACCGTCACGAGCTGCATGCTCGGCTGCTTCGAGCGGAGGGACAAGACGCGCAACGAGTTTCTCAGCCTAATCAACGTCAATGCCCGTTGAGGGCCTTTGTCTTTTTTTTTTTTTTTTTTTTTTCTTTGTTATTTTTTCAACTCTACCGCTTTCTACCCCTCCACCCTTTTTCAACACATCGTCGTGGGCAGCAAGGGGGGTTGTATCACTCTGCGTCGGGTGCCTCTGCTTTATTCTGCTGTACCTACTAGCGAGTTCACTTTCTGATGGCAGACAAGCGTGGCATGGTAATATAGGCTCATACTTTTTTTTTTTTTTTTTTGGTTTCATTTCTCTCTAGTTACGCACGCACATGGAGTGTGCTGCGTCCGCACCTGTTCTGTACTAGTAGGCACGACTGGCTCGGCCATGGGGCCTACGAATTGTTCATGATACTGGGTGCTGGCTCCTATAACAATGTGGCTTCGTTGCCGCTCTCGCGCACATGCTGTGTCCAATTGTCCACGGGTGTGTTAGAACCATTCGACGCCATCCTGTCGCATGCATGAAGGACCTAGATGCCAGCCGAACTGTGTCACCCACTCCCTGGGTGTTCCGTGACTTCTTGCCGGCTGGGGCGTCTTATCGCATTCGTCGTGTTGCGCAACTCTGCGTGAACCGAGAAGGCCCTCGTGGCCTTGGACAACAACTGAACAAGCTGCAGAGCAGGCCGGAGTCGGCCCCGATGCTATTGCTGCATGATGATACAAACCGCGTATCTATATAAAATACAAGAGTCTGAGAGAACAAAAAATACTGCCCATCTTGCGATGTGATAACCCCAACAAACATCATCCACCCATGGCGATATCGCAAACGCTGCACGCAATCGTCCTGCCGTGCGTATTCGCCGCCAAGGGCCTCCCCCTTCAAAGATCACCTCGAAATCATCCCCATGGGCGACACCGCAAGCCCTGCCGTGCATATCCGCAGACGGCCCGTCGCAGGGCACATGCCCCTGCTGACGATGCACGACGGGCCAGACGAGAGCTGTCACGTCATGGCAGTCTCCAATCTACCGCACTCCTCGAACTCATTCAAGATCGGGCCCGCCTGACACCATGCGCTGAGAGGACTTGGTCGCCGCACACTCGGGCGTCAAGCACAGGTAGGCTGCGGATGTGTCGGCGGGCGACTCTCGCGGGGAGGTTTGCGAGGAGGAGCCTCTGCTGGAAGAGGACGAAGCGCGTCACGGTGGACGGGATGCCCAAGCGGGCGTTTCACGCGCAGAATTACAAGCTCACAGAGGAGCGCGGAGGCGAGGGCGACGGGCGGGAGGATGTCGTGGCGGCTTTTACGAGCAGCTCAGCCAGAAGGGAGATTAGGAGGATGCACTTGAATGTGGACCGCGGGAGAGAGTTCGACGTCTTGGCTTGGATGACGTGTTTGACGATATATTGGTCGGGGCAGTGATGGGGTCGTTTGTCGGGGCTGTCTGCCCTGTGAGATTGATGGTGATGAAGTTGAGGGATCATGGAGCACAAGGTGGATTGTTACGCAAGTAGATTTGGACTTACACTGTTGTATAAATAGTCAAGTAGTAGACATGTCGCCGGTTACCTGGACAATCATCTACTTTGTAGTTTAGCATCTGCATGATTGATATTGATGAATGTAAGGGACTATGAGACGGGATGGCGTTTGCGTCAAGACTTGAATATACACCAGTACATCGTATATATAGTACCGGACATGTCACGCCAGTCACAAGCACCCGGCCAACTCTGATGAATAGTTTACGACATAACAGGCTTCAACAGGCTCGACGGCTCTGTCCTACTACTTCGCGGTTCCTCGACTCGATACGGCGCTGCAAAACGACGCCAATCCCCAAGTGCGACACGCGCGTTATCACTACAGTGTCACGAATGGTGGAATATTTTCCAATGAATCGAATGCATGGCCTAAATGGCGGCCCCCTTTGCCGCGTTCCGAGAGACTTACGGCATGATGGAGCGAAAGGCCGAGGGGATTTCATCGTTGCACCAGCAGCGGGGACATTTTGAGCCAGCGGTTGAAACTCGACGCTCATCACAGCACTAACTCGGGGCGCGCGAGTCATAGCCGCTCGATGCGAACAGAGGACCAGTTGACACTTTTCACAGCCGTCGTTCCAGCGGCGAGGCTCGGACAGACTGTCGCTGCACCAGAGGCTCAACTAGTCGCGGCGAGAGGAGGATACAAAATGCATCGAGCACCGTTCCGGAGCGGCATCCCGGCGTTTCGCCTCGCTCAATGGATATATGAATATACAGACGGTATACAGACGGTATACAGATGGGATGATGTTTCGGTGTCGGGCGAGAAGCGGTGGTCGAATAAGACGGGCGCGTGTTTTGCGCAAGGCGACGGAACCTCGATGGAGAGGGGATAGTCTTTCCGACAGACACGCTGCCACGACGCACACGCGGCTTTATATACCTTGGAGGAAATAAAGACCAGTCCGGTCCTCCTCAAAGGGCTTTCATTCAGTCAAGCAGTGCAATCAGCCCACCGACGTCACAACTGCCGCTGGCACAAGACCCTCTTTCGAGCCGCGCATTACACCAAGTCAAGCCCATCCGTCTGAAGCATTCTGCACCATTTGTCAGAATGGGTCACTTGTTACGGGTACAAATTACGTACGCACAATCAGATAAGGGTAAACCCTTAACCACGAGTGAATAACCTTAATAATAAGCGCACTTATAAAAAGGGTATATATAATTCTCTCTTTTATAGCTAGACATAAACTTGTATATATATATTATCGTTATAATTGGTGCCCTCTAAAGTGTGACAGGTAGGTTAGGGTGTAGGCCTAAAATTAAGGTGGGGCATTAGCACGAATAGTTAGGGTTGGTAGCACGAATAGCACGGCCCAT